CCAGGATCCGAGTAACATTGCTTCACATTTTATACCGGTACGGATTTCGCAGCTTCCCGGGCTCACAAACGCCCTTACATGGGGACGGTTCTTCATGCGGCGGGCCCGTTTGAAGGCAAAAAGAGCTGGAATCTCGTCCCAGGGTATCTAGGATTGTGGCAAACACGATCGTGATGGGCGGTCCAGGATCTGAGTAACATTGCTTCACATTTTATACCGGTACGGATTTCGCAGCTTCCCGGGCTCACGAACGCCCTTATATGGGGACGGTTTTTCATGCGGCGGGCCCGTTTGAAGGCAAAAAGAGCTGGAATCTCGTCCCAAGGTATCTAGGATTGTGGCAAACACGATCGTGCTGGGCGGTCCAGGATCCGAGTAACATTGCTTCACATTTTATACCGGTACGGATTTCGCAGCTTCCCGGGCTCACAAACGCCCTTATATGGGGACGGTTTTTCATGCGGCGGGCCCGTTTGAAGGCAAAAAGAGCTGGAATCTCGTCCCAAGGTATCTAGGATTGTGGCAAACACGATCGTGCTGGGCGGTCCAGGATCCGAGTAACATTGCTTCACATTTTATACCGGTACGGATTTCGCAGCTTCCCGGGCTCACAAACGCCCTTATATGGGGACGGTTTTTCATGCGGCGGGCCCGTTTGAAGGCAAAAAGAGCTGGAATCTCGTCCCAGGGTATCTAGGATTGTGGCACATACGATCGTGATGGGCGGTCCAGGATCTGAGTAACATTGCTTCACATTTTATACCGGTACGGATTTCGCAGCTTCCCGGGCTCACAAACGCCCTTATATGGGGACGGTTTTTCATGCGGCGGGCCCGTTTGAAGGCAAAAAAGAGCTGGAATCTCGTCCCAAGGTATCTAGGATTGTGGCAAACACGATCGTGCTGGGCGGTCCAGGATCCTGAGTAACATTGCTTCACATTTTATACCGGTACGGATTTCGCAGCTTCCCGGGCTCACAAACGCCCTTATATGGGGACGGTTTTTCATGCGGCGGGCCCGTTTGAAGGCAAAAAGAGCTGCAATCTCGTCCCAAGGTATCTAGGATTGTGGCAAACACGATCGTGCTGGGCGGTCCAGGATCCGAGTAACATTGCTTCACATTTTATACCGGTACGGATTTCGCAGCTTCCCAGGCTCACAAATGCCCTTATATGGGGACGGTTCTTCATGCGGCGGGCCCGTTTGAAGGCAAAAAGAGCTGGAATCTCGTCCCAAGGTATCTAGGATTGTGGCAAACACGATCGTGCTGGGCGGTCCAGGATCCGAGTAACATTGCTTCACATTTTATACCGGTACGGATTTCGCAGCTTCCCGGGCTCACAAACGCCCTTACATGGGGACGGTTCTTCATGCGGCGGGCCCGTTTGAAGGCAAAAAGAGCTGGAATCTCGTCCCAGGGTATCTAGGATTGTGGCACATACGATCGTGATGGGCGGTCCAGGATCTGAGTAACATTGCTTCACATTTTATACCGGTACGGATTTCGCAGCTTCCCGGGCTCACGAACGCCCTTATATGGGGACGGTTTTTCATGCGGCGGGCCCGTTTGAAGGCAAAAAAAGCTGGAATCTCGTCCCAAGGTATCTAGGATTGTGGCAAACACGATCGTGCTGGGCGGTCCAGGATCCGAGTAACATTGCTTCACATTTTATACCGGTACGGATTTCGCAGCTTCCCGGGCTCACAAACGCCCTTATATGGGGACGGTTTTTCATGCGGCGGGCCCGTTTGAAGGCAAAAAGAGCTGGAATCTCGTCCCAAGGTATCTAGGATTGTGGCAAACACGATCGTGCTGGGCGGTCCAGGATCCGAGTAACATTGCTTCACATTTTATACCGGTACGGATTTCGCAGCTTCCCGGGCTCACAAACGCCCTTATATGGGGACGGTTTTTCATGCGGCGGGCCCGTTTGAAGGCAAAAAGAGCTGGAATCTCGTCCCAGGGTATCTAGGATTGTGGCACATACGATCGTGATGGGCGGTCCAGGATCTGAGTAACATTGCTTCACATTTTATACCGGTACGGATTTCGCAGCTTCCCGGGCTCACGAACGCCCTTATATGGGGACGGTTTTTCATGCGGCGGGCCCGTTTGAAGGCAAAAAAGAGCTGGAATCTCGTCCCAAGGTATCTAGGATTGTGGCAAACACGATCGTGCTGGGCGGTCCAGGATCCGAGTAACATTGCTTCACATTTTATACCGGTACGGATTTCGCAGCTTCCCGGGCTCACAAACGCCCTTATATGGGGACGGTTTTTCATGCGGCGGGCCCGTTTGAAGGCAAAAAGAGCTGGAATCTCGTCCCAAGGTATCTAGGATTGTGGCAAACACGATCGTGCTGGGCGGTCCAGGATCCGAGTAACATTGCTTCACATTTTATACCGGTACGGATTTCGCAGCTTCCCGGGCTCACAAACGCCCTTATATGGGGACGGTTTCTTCATGCGGCGGGCCCGTTTGAAGGCAAAAAGAGCTGGAATCTCGTCCCAGGGTATCTAGGATTGTGGCAACATACGATCGTGATGGGCGGTCCAGGATCTGAGTAACATTGCTTCACATTTTATACCGGTACGGATTTCGCAGCTTCCCGGGCTCACAAACGCCCTTATATGGGGACGGTTTTTCATGCGGCGGGCCCGTTTGAAGGCAAAAAAGAGCTGGAATCTCGTCCCAAGGTATCTAGGATTGTGGCAAACACGATCGTGCTGGGCGGTCCAGGATCCGAGTAACATTGCTTCACATTTTATACCGGTACGGATTTCGCAGCTTCCCGGGCTCACAAACGCCCTTATATGGGGACGGTTTTTCATGCGGCGGGCCCGTTTGAAGGCAAAAAGAGCTGGAATCTCGTCCCAAGGTATCTAGGATTGTGGCAAACACGATCGTGCTGGGCGGTCCAGGATCCGAGTAACATTGCTTCACATTTTATACCGGTACGGATTTCGCAGCTTCCCAGGCTCACAAATGCCCTTATATGGGGACGGTTCTTCATGCGGCGGGCCCGTTTGAAGGCAAAAAGAGCTGGAATCTCGTCCCAAGGTATCTAGGATTGTGGCAAACACGATCGTGCTGGGCGGTCCAGGATCCGAGTAACATTGCTTCACATTTTATACCGGTACGGATTTCGCAGCTTCCCAGGGCTCACAAACTGCCCTTATATGGGGACGGTTCTTCATGCGGCGGGCCCGTTTGAAGGCAAAAAGAGCTGGAATCTCGTCCCAAGGTATCTAGGATTGTGGCAAACACGATCGTGCTGGGCGGTCCAGGATCCGAGTAACATTGCTTCACATTTTATACCGGTACGGATTTCGCAGCTTCCCGGGCTCACAAACGCCCTTATATGGGGACGGTTTTTCATGCGGCGGGCCCGTTTGAAGGCAAAAAGAGCTGGAATCTCGTCCCAAGGTATCTAGGATTGTGGCAAACACGATCGTGCTGGGCGGTCCAGGATCTGAGTAACATTGCTTCACATTTTATACCGGTACGGATTTCGCAGCTTCCCGGGCTCACAAACGCCCTTATATGGGGACGGTTTTTCATGCGGCGGGCCCGTTTGAAGGCAAAAAGAGCTGCAATCTCGTCCCAAGGTATCTAGGATTGTGGCAAACACGATCGTGCTGGGCGGTCCAGGATCCGAGTAACATTGCTTCACATTTTATACCGGTACGGATTTCGCAGCTTCCCGGGCTCACAAATGCCCTTATATGGGGACGGTTCTTCATGCGGCGGGCCCGTTTGAAGGCAAAAAGAGCTGGAATCTCGTCCCAAGGTATCTAGGATTGTGGCAAACACGATCGTGCTGGGCGGTCCAGGATCCGAGTAACATTGCTTCACATTTTATACCGGTACGGATTTCGCAGCTTCCCGGGCTCACAAACGCCCTTATATGGGGACGGTTTTTCATGCGGCGGGCCCGTTTGAAGGCAAAAAGAGCTGGAATCTCGTCCCAGGGTATCTAGGATTGTGGCACATACGATCGTGCTGGGCGGTCCAGGATCTGAGTAACATTGCTTCACATTTTATACCGGTACGGATTTCGCAGCTTCCCGGGCTCACAAACGCCCTTATATGGGGACGGTTTTTCATGCGGCGGGCCCGTTTGAAGGCAAAAAGAGCTGGAATCTCGTCCCAAGGTATCTAGGATTGTGGCAAACACGATCGTGCTGGGCGGTCCAGGATCCGAGTAACATTGCTTCACATTTTATACCGGTACGGATTTCGCAGCTTCCCGGGCTCACAAATGCCCTTATATGGGGACGGTTTTTCATGCGGCGGGCCCGTTTGAAGGCAAAAAGAGCTGGAATCTCGTCCCAAGGTATCTAGGATTGTGGCAAACACGATCGTGCTGGGCGGTCCAGGATCCGAGTAACATTGCTTCACATTTTATACCGGTACGGATTTCGCAGCTTCCCGGGCTCACAAACGCCCTTATATGGGGACGGTTTTTCATGCGGCGGGCCCGTTTGAAGGCAAAAAGAGCTGCAATCTCGTCCCAAGGTATCTAGGATTGTGGCAAACACGATCGTGCTGGGCGGTCCAGGATCCGAGTAACATTGCTTCACATTTTATACCGGTACGGATTTCGCAGCTTCCCGGGCTCACAAACGCCCTTACATGGGGACGGTTTTTCATGCGGCGGGCCCGTTTGAAGGCAAAAAGAGCTGGAATCTCGTCCCAGGGTATCTAGGATTGTGGCACATACGATCGTGATGGGCGGTCCAGGATCTGAGTAACATTGCTTCACATTTTATACCGGTACGGATTTCGCAGCTTCCCGGGCTCACGAACGCCCTTATATGGGGATGGTTTTTCATGCGGCGGGCCCGTTTGAAGGCAAAAAAAGCTGGAATCTCGTCCCAAGGTATCTAGGATTGTGGCAAACACGATCGTGCTGGGCGGTCCAGGATCCGAGTAACATTGCTTCACATTTTATACCGGTACGGATTTCGCAGCTTCCCGGGCTCACAAACGCCCTTATATGGGGACGGTTTTTCATGCGGCGGGCCCGTTTGAAGGCAAAAAGAGCTGCAATCTCGTCCCAAGGTATCTAGGATTGTGGCAAACACGATCGTGCTGGGCGGTCCAGGATCCGAGTAACATTGCTTCACATTTTATACCGGTACGGATTTCGCAGCTCAAAAACCCATTCTCCCGCTTCCCATAACCCCACCCTATTTTCCCGCTTTCCATCATCTCGCCACATTCTCCCACTTTCCATCACCCCGCCCCCTTCTCTCTCCTTCCATCACCCCGCCCCATTCTCCCGCTTTCCATCAGCCCGCCCCATTCTCCCGCTTTCCATCACCCCTCCCATTTCTCCCACTTTCCATCTCCCCGCCCCATTCTCCCGCTTTCCATCACCCCGCCCCATTCTCCCGCTTTCCATCACCCCGCCCCATTCTTCCGCTTCCCATCATCCCGCCCCGTTCCCCCGCTTTCCATCACCCCTCCCCATTCTCCCTCCTTCCATCACCCCGCCCCATTCTCTCGCTTTCCATCACCCCCCCCCATTCTCCCGCTTTCCATCACCCCGCCCCATTCTCCCGCTTTCCATCACCCCAGCCCATTCTTCCTCCTTCCATCACCCCGCCCCATTCTCCCGCTCTCCATCACCCCGCCCCATTCTCCCGCCTTCCATCACCCCGCCCCATTCTCCCTCATTCCATCACCCCGCCCCATTCTCCCGCTTTCCAGCACCCCGCCCTATTCTCCCGCTTCCCATAACCCCACCCCATTCTCCCACTTTCCATCACCCCGCCCCCTTCTCTCTCCTTCCATCACCCCGCCCCATTCTCCCTCCTTCCATCACCCCGCCCCATTCTCCTGCTTTCCATCAGCCCGCCCCATTCTCCCGCTTTCCATCACCCCGCCCCATTCTCCCTCCTTCCATCACCCCGCCCCATTCTCCCGCTTTCCATCACCCCGCCACATTCTCCCGCTTTCTATCAGCCCACCCCATTCTCCCTCCTTCCATCACTCCGCCCCATTCTCCCGATTTCCATCACCCCGCCCCATTCTCCCGATTTCCATCACCCCGCCCCATTCTCCCGCTTTCCATCACCCCGCCCCATTCTCCCGCTTTCCATCACCCCGCCCCATTCTCCTTCCTTCCATCACCCCGCCCCATTCTCCTGCTTTCCATCAGCCCGCCCCATTCTCCCGCTTTCCATCACCCCGCCCCATTCTCCCTCCTTCCATCACCCCGCCCCATTCTCCCGCTTTCCATCACCCCGCCCCATTCTCCCGCTTCCCATAACCCCACTCCATTCTCCTGCTTTCCATCACCCCGCCACATTCTCCCGCTTTCCATCACCCCGCCCCATTCTCCCTCATTCCATCACCCCGCCCCATTCTCCCGCTTTCCATCACCCCGCCCCATTCTCCCGCTTCCCATAACCCCACCCCATTCTCTCGCTTTCCATCACCCCGCCACATTTTCCCACTTTCCATCACCCCGCCCCCTTCTCTCTCCTTCCATCACCCCGCCCCATTCTCCCTCCTTCCATCACCCCGCCCCATTCTCCCGCTTTCCATCAGCCCGCCCCGTTCTCCCGCTTTCCATCACCCCGCCCCTTTCTCCCGCTTTCCATCTCCCCGCCACATTCTCCCGCTTTCCATCACCCCGCCCCATTCTCCCGCTTTCCATCACCCCGCCCCAATCTTCCGCTTCCCATCATCCCGCCCCATTCCACCACTTTCCATCACCCCTCCCCATTCTCCCTCCTTCCATCACCCCGCCCCATTCTTCCGCTTTCCATCACCCGCCCCAGTCTCCCGCTTTCCATCACCTCGCCCCATTCTGCCGCTTTCCATCACCCCGCCCCATTCTTTTGCTTTCCATCACCCCGCCCCATTCTCCCGCTTTCCATCACCCTGCCCCATTCACCCGCCACATTCTCTCGCTTTCCATCACCCCGCCCCATTCTCCCGCTTTCCATCACTCGCTCCATTCTCCCGCCTTCCATCACCCCGCCCCATTCTCCCGCTTTCCATCACCCCGCCCCATTCTCCCGCTTTCCATCATTCCACCCCATTCTTCCGCTTTCCATCACCCCGACCCATTCTCCCACTTTCCATCACCCCGCCCCATTCTCCCTCCTTCCATCACCCCGCCTCATTCTCCCTCCTTCTATCACCCCGCCCCATTCTCTCGCTTTCCATCACCCTGCCCCGTTCTCCCGCTTTCCATCACCCAGCCCCATTCTCCCGCTTTCCATCACCCCGCCCCATTCTCCCTCCTTCCATCACCCCGCCCCATTCTCCCGCTTTCCATCACCCCGCCCCATTCTCCCGCTTTCCATCACCCAGCCCCATTCTCCCGCTTTCCATCACCCTGCCCCATTCTCCCGCTTTCCATCATCCCGCCCCATTCTTTTGCTTCCCATCATCCCGCCCCATTCCCCCGCTTTCCATCACCCCTCCCCATTCTCCCTCCTTCCATCACCCCGCCCCATTCTCTCGCTTTCCATCACCCCGCCCCATTCTCCTGCTTTCCATCACCCCGCCCCATTCTCCCGCTTTCCATCACTCCGCCCCATTATCCCTCCTTCCATCACCCCGCCCCATTCTCCCTCCTTCCATCACCGCGCCACATTCTCCCACTTTCTATCACCCCACCCCATTCTCCCTCCTTCCATCACCCCGCTCCATTCTCCCGCTTTCCATCACCCCGCCCCATTCTCCCGATTTCCATCACCCCGTTCCATTCTCCCGCTTTCCATCACCCCGCCCCATTCTCCCGCTTTCCATCACCCCGCCCCATTCTCCCGCTTTCCATCATCCCGCCCCATTCTTCCGCTTCCCATCATCCCGCCCCATTCCCCTGCTTTCCATCACCCCTCCCCATTCTCCCTCCTTCCATCACCCCGCCCCATTCTCTCGCTTTCCATCACCCCGCCCCATTCTCCCGCTTTCCATCACCCCGCCCCATTCTCCCGCTTTCCATCACTCCGCCCCATTATCCCTCCTTCCATCACCCCGCCCCATTCTCCCTCCTTCCATCACCCCGCCCCATTCTCCCGCTTTCCATCACCCCGCCTCATTCTCCCGCTTCCCATAACCCCACCCCATTCTCCCGCTTTCCATCACCCCGCCACATTCTCCCACTTTCTATCACCCCGCCCCCTTCTCTCTCCTTCCATCACCCCGCCCCATTCTCCCTCCTTCCATCACCCTGCCCCATTCTCCCGCTTTCCATCAGCCCGCCCCATTCTCCCGCTTTCCATCACCCCTCCCCTTTCTCCCGCTTTCCATCTCCCCGCCCCATTCTCCCGCTTTCCATCACCCCGCCCCATTCTCCTGCTTTCCATCACCCCGCCCCATTCTTCCGCTTCCCATCATCCCGCCCCGTTCCCCCGCTTTCCATCACCCCTCCCCATTCTCCCTCCTTCCATCACCCCGCCCCATTCTCTCGCTTTCCATCACCCCGCCCCATTCTCCCGCTTTCCATCACCCCGACCCATTCTCCCGCTTTCCATCACCCCGCCCCATTCTTCCTCCTTCCATCACCCCGCCCCATTCTCCCGCTTTCCATCCCCTCGCCCCATTCTCCCTCCTTCCATCACCCCCCCCCATTCTCCCTCATTCCATCACCCTGCCCCATTCTCCCGCTTTCCATCACCCCGCCCCATTCTCCCGCTTCCCATAACCCCACCCCATTCTCCCGCTTTCCATCACCCCGCCACATTTTCCCACTTTCCATCACCCCGCCCCCTTCTCTCTCCTTCCATCACCTCGCCCCATTCTCCCTCCTTCCATCAACCCGCCCCATTCTCCCGCTTTCCATCAGCCCGCCCCATTCTCCCGCTTTCCATTACCCCGCCCCTTTCTCCCGCTTTCCATCTCCCTGCCCCATTCTCCCGCTTTCCATCACCCCGCCCCATTCTCCCGCTTTCCATCACCCAGCCCCATTCTCCCGCTTTCCATCACCCCGCCCCATTCTCCCGCTTTCCATCACCCAGCCCCATTCTCCCGCTTTCCATCATCCCGCCCCATTTTCCCGCTTTCCATCACCCCGCCCCATTCTCCCGCTTTCCATCACCCTGCCCCAATCTCCCGCTTCCCATCACCCCACCCCATTCTCCCTCCTTCTATCACCCCGCCCCATTCTCCCGCTTTCCATCACCCCGCCCCATTCTCCCGCTTTCCATCACCCAGCCTCATTCTCCCGCTTTCCATCACCCCGCCCCATTCTCCCGCTTTCCATCACCCCGCCCCATTCTACCGCTTTCCATCACCCCGCCCCATTCTCCCTCCTATCTCCCCGCCCAATTCTCCCGCTTTCCATCACCCCGTCCCATTCTCCCTCCTTCCATCACCCCGCCCCATTCTCCCTCCTTCCATCACCCCGCCCCATTCTCCCTCATTCCATCACCCTGCCCCATTCTCCCGCTTTCCATCACCCCGCCCCATTCTCCCGCTTCCCATAACCCCACCCCATTCTCCCGCTTTCCATCACCCCGCCACATTTTCCCACTTTCCATCACCCCGCCCCCTTCTCTCTCCTTCCATCACCTCGCCCCATTCTCCCTCCTTCCATCAACCCGTCCCATTCTCCTGCTTTCCATCAGCCCGCCCCATTCTCCCGCTTTCCATTACCCCGCCCCTTTCTCCCATTTTCCATCTCCCTGCCCCATTCTCCCGCTTTCCATCACCCCGCCCCATTCTCCCGCTTTCCATCACCCAGCCCCATTCTCCCGCTTTCCATCACCCCGCCCCATTCTCCCGCTTTCCATCACCCAGCCCCATTCTCCCGCTTTCCATCACCCCGCCCCATTTTCCCGCTTTCCATCACCTCGCCCCATTCTCCCGCTTTCCATCACCCTGCCCCAATCTCCCGCTTTCCATCACCCCACCCCATTCTCCCTCCTTCCATCACTCCGCCCCATTCTCCCGCTTTCCATCACCCCGCCCCATTCTCCCGCTTTCCATCACCCAGCCTCATTCTCCCGCTTTCCATCACCCCGCCCCGTTCTCCCGCTTTCCATCACCCCGCCCCATTCTCCCGCTTTCCATCACCCCGCCCCATTCTCCCTCCTTCCATCTCCCCGCCCCATTCTCCCACTTTCCATCACCCCGTCCCATTCTCCCTCCTTCCATCACCCCGCCCCATTCTCCCTCCTTCCATCACCGCGCCCCATTCTCCCGCTTTCCATCAGCCCGCCCCATTCTCCCGCTTCCCATAACCCCACCCCCTTCTCCCGCTTTCCATCACCCCGCCACATTCTCCCGCTTTCTATCACCCCGCCCTATTCTCCCTCCTTCCATCACCCCGCCCCATTCTCCCGCTTTCCATCACCCCGCCCCATTCTCCCGCTTTCCATCATCCCGCCCCATTCTCCCTCCTTCCATCACCCCGCCCCATTCTCCCGCATTCCATCACTCCGCCCCATTCTCCCTCCTTCCATCACCCCGCCCCATTCTCCCTGCTTCCATCACCCCGCCCCATTCTCCCGCTTTTCATCACCCCGCCCCATTCTCCCGCTTCCCATAACCCCACCGTATTCTCCCGCTTTCCATCACCTCGCCACATTCTCCCACTTTCCATCACCCCGCCCCCTTCTCTCTCCTTCCATTACGCCGCCCCATTCTCCCTCCTTCCATCACCCCGCCCCATTCTCCCGCTTTCCATCAGCCCGCCCCATTCTCCCGCTTTCCATCACCCCTCCCATTTCTCCCACTTTCCATCTCCCCGCCCCATTCTCCCGCTTTCCATCACCCCGCCCCATTCTCCCACTTTCCATCACCCCGCCCCATTCTTCCGCTTCCCATCATCCCGCCCCCTTCCCCCGCTTTCCATCACCCCTCCCCATTCTCCCTCCTTCCATCACCCCGCCCCATTCTCTCGCTTTCCATCACCCCGCCCCATTCTCCCGCTTTCCATCACCCCGCCCCATTCTCCCGCTTTCCATCACCCCAGCCCATTCTTTTTCCTTCCATCACCCCGCCCCATTCTCCGGCTTTCCATCACCCCGCCCCATTCTCCCTCCTTCCATCACCCCGCCCCATTCTCCCTCATTCCATCACCCCGCCCCATTCTCCCGCTTTCCATCACCCCGCCCCATTCTCCCGCTTCCCATAACCCCACCCCATTCTCCCGCTTTCCATCACCCCGCCAAATTTTCCCACTTTCCGTCACCCCGCCCCCTTCTCTCTCCTTCCATCACCCCGCCCCATTCTCCCTCCTTCCATCACCCCGCCCCATTCTCCTGCTTTCCATCAGCCCGCCCCATTCTCCCGCTTTCCATCACCCCGCCCCATTCTCCCTCCTTCCATCACCCCGCCCCATTCTCCCGCTTTCCATCACCCCGCCCCATTCTCCCGCTTCCCATAACCCCACTCCATTCTCCCGCTTTCCATCACCCCGCCACATTCTCCCGCTTTCTATCACCCCGCCCCATTCTCTTTCCTTCCATCACCCCGCCCCATTTTCCCGCTTTCGATCACCCCGCCCCATTCTCCCGATTTCCATCACCCCGCCCCATTCTCCCGCTTTCCATCACCCCGCCCCATTCTCCCGCTTTCCATCACCCCGCCCCATTCTCCCGCTTTCCATCACCCCACCCCATTCTTCCGCTTCCCATCATTACGCCCCATTCCCCCGCTTTCCATCACCCCTCCCCATTCTCCCTCCTTCCATCACCCCGCCCCATTCTCTCGCTTTCCATCACCCCGCCCCATTCTCCGGCTTTCCATCACCCCGCCCCATTCTCCCGCTTTCCATCACTCCGCCCCATTATCCCTCCTTCCATCACCCCGCCCCATTCTCACTCCTTCCATCACCCCGCCCCATTCTCCCGCTGTCCATCACCCCGCCTCATTCTCCCGCTTCCGATAACCCCACCCCATTCTCCCGCTTTCCATCACCCCGCCACATTCTCCCACTTTCTATCACCCCGCCCCCTTCTCTCTCCTTCTATCACCCCGCCCCATTCTCCCTCCTTCCATCACCCTGCCCCATTCTCCCGCTTTCCATCACCCCGCCCCATTCTCCCGCTTTCCATCACCCCTCCCCTTTCTCCCGCTTTCCATCTCCCCGCCCCATTCTCCCGCTTTCCATCACCCCGCCCCATTCTCCTGCTTTCCATCACCCCGCCCCATTCTTCCGCTTCCCATCATCCCGCCCCATTCTCCCGCTTTCCATCACCCCTCCCCATTCTCCCTCCTTCCATCACCCCGCCCCATTCTCTCGCTTTCCATCACCCCGCCCAATTCTCCCGCTTTCCATCACCCCGACCCATTCTCCCGCTTTCCATCACCCCGCCCCATTCTCCCTCCTTCCATCACCCCGCCCCATTCTTCCGCTTTCCATCACCCCGCCCCATTCTCCCTCCTTCAATCACCCTGCCCCATTCTCCCTCATTCCATCACCCTGCCCCATTCTCCCGCTTTCCATCACCCCGCCCCATTCTCCGGCTTCCCATAACCCCACTCCATTCTCCCTCTTTCCATCACCCCGCCACATTTTCCCACTTTCCATCACCCCGCCCCCTTCTATCTCCTTCCATCACCCCGCCCCATTCTCCCTCCTTCCATCAACCCGCCCCATTCTCCCGCTTTCCATCAACCCGCCCCATTCTCCCGCTTTCCATCACCCCGCCCCTTTCTCCAGCTTTCCATCTCCCTGCCCCATTCTCCCACTTTCCATCACCCCACCCCATTCTCCCGCTTTCACTCACCCAGCCCCATTCTCCCGCTTTCCATCAGCCCGCCCCATTCTCTCGCTTTCCATCACCCAGCCCCATTCTCCCGCTTTCCATCACCCCGCCCCATTTTCCCACTTTCCATCACCCCGCCCCATTCTCCCGCTTTCCATCACCCTGCCCCAATCTCCCGCTCTCCATCATCCCACCCAATTCTCCCTCCTTCCATCACCCCGCCCCATTCTCCCGCTTTTCATCACCCCGCCCCATTCTCCCGCTTTCCATCACCCCGCCCCATTCTCCCTCCTTCCATCACCCCGCCCCATTCTCCTGCTTTCCATCACCCCGTCCCATTCTCCCTCCTTCCATCACCCCGCCCCATTCTCCCGCTTTCCATCACCCCGCCCCATTCTCCCGCTTTCCATCAGCCCGCCCCATTCTCCCGCTTTCCATCACCCCTCCCCTTTCTCCCACTTTCCATCTCCCCGCCCCATTCTCCCGCTTTCCATCACCCCGCCCCATTCTCCCGCTTTCCATCACCCCGCCCCATTCTTCCGCTTCCCATCATCCCGCCCCATTCCCCCCCTTTCCATCACCCCTCCCCATTCTCCCTCCTTCCAACACCCCGCCCCATTCTCTCGCTTTCCATCACCCCGCCCCATTCTCCCGCTTTCCATCACCCCGCCCCATTCTCCCGCTTACCATCACCCCAGCCCATTCTTCCTCCTTCCATCACCCCGCCCCATTCTCCCGCTTTCCATCACCCCGCCCCATTCTCCCTCATTCCATCACCCCGCCCCATTCTCCCGCTTTCCATCACCCCGCCCCATTCTCCTGCTTCCCATAACCCCACCCCATTCTCCCGCTTTCCATCACCCCGCCACATTTTTCCACTTTCCATCACCCCGCCCCCTTCTCTCTCCTTCCATCACCCCGCCCCATTCTCCCTCCTTCCATCACTCCGCCCCATTCTCCTGCTTTCCATCAGCCCGCCCCATTCTCCCGCTTTCCATCACCCCGCCCCTTTCTCCTGCTTTCCATCTCCCCGCCCCATTCTCCCGCTTTCCATCACCCCACCCCATTCTCCCGCTTTCCATCACCCCGCCCCATTCTTCCGCTTCCCATCATCCCGCCCCTTTTCCCCGCTTTCCATCACCCCTCCCCATTCTCCCTCCTTCCATCACCCCGCCCCATTCTCCCGCTTTCCATCACCCGCCCCATTCTCCTGCTTTCCATCACCCCGCCTCAATCTTTTGCTTTCCATCACCCCGCCCCAATCTCCCGCTTTCCATCACCCTGCCCCATTCACCCGCTTTCCATCACCCGCCCCATTCTCCCGCTTTCCATCACCCCGCCCATTCTCCCGCTTTCCATCACCCCGCCCCATTCTCCCGCTTTCCATCCCCCCGCCCCATTCTCCCGCTTTCCATCACCCCGCCCCATTCTCCCGCTTTCCATCACTCCGCCCCATTCTCCCGCTTTCCATCACCCCGACCCATTCTCCCACTTTCCATCCCCCCGCCCCCTTCTCCCTCCTTCCATCACCCCGCCCCATTCTCCCTCCTTCCATCACCCCGCCCCATTCTCCCGCTTTCCATCACCCCGCCCCATTCTCCCGCTTTCCATCACCCCGCCCCATTCTCCCGCTTTCCATCACCCCGCCCCATTCTCCCGCTTTCCATCACCCCGCCCCATTCTCCCTCCTTCCATCACCCCGCCCCATTCTCCCTCCTTCCATCACCCCGCCCCATTCTCCCGCTTTCCATCACCCCGCCCCATTCTCCCGCTTCCCATAACCCCACCCCATTCTACCGCTTTCCATCACCCCGCCACATTCTCCCACTTTCCATCACCCCGCCCCCTTCTCTCTCCTTCCATCAACCCGCCCCATTCTCCCTCCTTCCATCACCCCGCCCCATTCTCCCGCTTTCCATCACCCCGCCCCATTCTCCCGCTTTCCATCACCCCTCCCCTTTCTCCCGCTTTCCATCTCCCTGCCCCATTCTCCCGCTTTCTATCACCCCGCCCCATTGTCCCGCTTTCCATCACCCCGCCCCATTCTTCCGCTACCCATCATCCCGACCCATTCCACCGCTTTCCATCACCCCTCCCCATTCTCCCTCCTTCCATCAACCCGCCCCATTCTCTCGCTTTCCATCACCCCGCCCCATTCTCTCGCTTTCCATCACCCCGCCCCATTCTCCCACTTTCCATCACCCCGCCCCATTCTCCCGCTTTCCATCACCCCGACCCATTCTCCCACTTTCCATCACCCCGCCCCCTTCTCCCTCCTTCCATCACCCCGCCCCATTCTCCCTCCTTCCATCACCCCGCCCCATTCTCCCGCTTTCCATCACCCCGCCCCGGCATTCTCCCCCAATCCATCACCCCTCCCCATTTTCACTCTTTCCATCACCCCGTCCCATTCTCCCGCTTTCCATCACCCCGCCCCATTCTCCCTCTTTCCATCACCCCGCCCCATTCTCCCCCAATCCATCACCCCGCCCCATTCTCCCGCTTTCCATCACCCCGCCCGCTCCATTCTCCCGCTTTCCATCACCCCGCCCAATTCTCCCTCTTTCCATCACCCCTCCCCATTCTCCCTCTTTCATCACCCCGCCCCATTATCCCGCTTTCCATCACCCCGCCCCATTCTCCCTCTATCCATCACCCCGCCCAATTCTCCCACTTTCCATCACCCCGTCCCATTCTCCCGTTTTCCATCACCCTGCCCCATTCTCTCGCTTTCCATCACCCCGCCTTATTCTCCCGCTTTCCATCACCCCGCCCCATTCTCCCGATTTCCATCACCCCGCCCCATTCTCCCGCTTTGGATGACCCCGCCCCATTCTCCCGCTTTCCATCACCCCGCCCCATTCTCCCGCTTTCCAACACCCCGCCCCATTCTCCCGCTTTCCATCACCCCGCCCCATTCTACCGCTTTCCATCATCCCGCCCCATTCTCCCTCCTTCCATCAACCCGCCCCATTCTCCCGCTTTCCATCACTCCGCCCCATTCTCCCTCCATTCATCACCCCGCCCCATTCTCCCTCCTTCCATCACCCCGCCCCATTCTCCCGCTTTCCATCACCCCACCCCATTCTCCCGCTTCCCATAACCCCACTCCATTCTCTCGCTTTCCATCACCCCGCCACATTTTCCCACTTTCCATCACCCCGCCCCCTTCTCTCTCCTTCCATCACCCCGCCCCATTCTCCTGCTTTCCATCAGCCCGCCCCATTCTCCCGCTTTCCATCACCCCGCTCCATTCTCCCGCTTTCCATCACCCCGCCCCATTCTTCCGCTTCCCATCATCCCGCCCCTTTTCCCCGCTTTCCATCACCCCTCCCCATTCTCCCTCCTTCCATCACCCCGCCCCATTCTCCCGCTTTCCATCACACCGCCCCATTCTCCCGCTTTCCATCACCCTGCCCCATTCACCCGCTTTCCATCACCTCGCCCCATTCTCCCGCTTTCCATCACCCCGCCCCATTCTCCCGCTTTCCATCACCCTGCCCCATTCACCCGCTTTCCATCACCCGCCCCATTCTCCCTCTTTCCATCACCCCGCCTTATTCTCCCGCTTTCCATCACCCCGCCCCATTGTCCCGCTTTCCATCCCCCCGCCCCATTCTCCCACTTTCCATCACCCCGCCCCATTCTCCCGCTTTCTATCACTCCGCCCCATTCTCCCGCTTTCCATCACCCTGACCCATTCTCCCACTTTCCATCACCCCGCCCCATTCTCCCTCCTTCCATCACCCCGCCTCATTCTCCCTCCTTCCATCACCCCGCCCCATTCTCCCGCTTTCCATCACCCCGCCCCATTCTCCCGCTTTTCATCACCCCGCCCCATTCTCCCGCTTTCCATCACCCCGCCCCATTCTCTTGCCTTCCATCACCCCGCCCCATTCTCCCGCTTTCCATCACCCCGCCCCATTCTCCCGCTTTCCATCACCACGCCCCATTCTCCCGCCTTCCATCACCCCGCCCCATTATCCCTCCTTCCATCACCCCGCCCCATTCTCCCGCTTTCCATCACTCCGCCCCATTCTCCCGCTTTCCATCACCCCACCCCAATCTCCCTCTTTCCATCACCCCGCCCCATTCTCCCGCTTTCCATCACCCCGCCCCATTCTCCCGCTTTCCATCACCCCGCCCCATTCTCCTGCTTTCCATCACCCCGCCCCAATCTCCCTCTTTCCAACACCCCACCCCATTCTCCCTCCTTCCATCACCCCGCCCCATTCACCTGCGTTCTATCACCCCGCCCCATTCTCCCGCCCCAATTTCCCGTTTTCCAACACCCTCGCCACATTCTCCTGCTTTCCATCACCCCGCCCCATTCTCCCACTTTCCACCTCCCCGCCCCATTCTCCCGCTTTCCATCACCCCGCCCCATTCTCCCGCTTTCCATCGACCCACCCCATCCTCCCACCTTCCATCACCCCGCCCCATTCTCTTCCTTTCCATCACCCCGCCCCATTCTCCCGCTTTCCATCACCCTGCCCCATACTCCCGCTTTCCATCACCCCGCCCGGTTCTCCTGCTTTCCATCACCCCGCCCCATTCTCCCGATTTCCATCACCCCGCCCCATTCTCCGGCTTTGTAACACCCCGCCCCATTCTCCCTCCTTCCCTCACCCCGCCCCATTCTCCCTCCTTCCATCACCCCGCCCCATTCTCCTTCCTTCAATCGCCCCGCCCCATTCTCCTGCTTTCCATCACCCCGCCCCATTCTCCCTCCTTCCATCACCCCACCCCATTCTCCCGCTTTCCATCACCACGCCCCATTCTCCCGCTTTCCATCACCCCGCCCCGTTCTCCCACTTTGCATCACACCGCCCCATTCTCTAGCTTTCCATGACCCCGCCCCATTTTCCCGCTTTCCATCACCCCGCCCCGTTCTTCCACTTTCCATCACCCCGCCCCATTCTCCCGCTTTCCATCACCCCGCCCCATTCTCCCCCTTTCCATCACCCCACCCCATTCTCCCTCCCTCCAGCAGAGCGCCCCATTTTCCCTCCTTCCATCACCCTGCCCCATTCTCCCACTTTCCATCACCTCGCCCCATTCTCACGCTTTCCATCACCGCGCCCCATTCTCCTGCTTTCCATCACCCCGCCCCATTCTCCCTCCTTCCATCACCCCGCCCCATTCTCCCTCCTTCCATAACCCCGCCCCATTCTCCCGCTTTCCATCACCCTGCCCCATTCTCCCGCTTTCCATCACCCCGCCCCATTCTCCCGCTTTCCCTCACCCCACCCCATTCTCCCGCACTCCATAGCCCCGCCCTATTCTCCCGCTTTCCATCACCTCGCCCCATTCTCCCGCTTTCCATCACCCCGCCCCAATCTCCCTCCTTCCATCACCCCACCCCATTCTCCCTCCGTTAATCATCACGCCCCATTCTCCCGCTTTCCATCACCCCGCCCCATTTTCCCGCTTTCCATCACCACGCCACATTCTCCCACTTTCCATCACCCCGCCCCATTCTCCCGCTTTCCATCACCCCGCCCCATTCTCCCCCTTTCCATCACCCCACCCCATTCTCCCTCCCTCCAGCAGAGCGCCCCATTTTCCCTCCTTCCATCACCCTGCCCCATTCTCCCACTTTCCATCACCTCGCCCCATTCTCACGCTTTCCATCACCGCGCCCCATTCTCCTGCTTTCCATCACCCCGCCCCATTCTCCCTCCTTCCATCACCCCGCCCCATTCTCCCTCCTTCCATAACCCCGCCCCATTCTCCCGCTTTCCATCACCCTGCCCCATTCTCCCGCTTTCCATCACCCCGCCCCATTCTCCCGCTTTCCCTCACCCCACCCCATTCTCCCACACTCCATAGCCCCGCCCTATTCTCCCGCTTTCCATCACCTCGCCCCATTCTCCCGCTTTCCATCACCCCGCCCCAATCTCCCTCCTTCCATCACCCCACCCCATTCTCCCTCCGTTAATCATCACGCCCCATTCTCCCGCTTTCCATCACCCCGCCCCATTCTCCCGCTTTCCATCACCCCGTCCCATTCTCCCACTTTCCATCACCCCGCCCCATTCTCCTGCTTTACATCAGCCTGCCCCATGGGGCGGGGTGATGGAAAGTGGGAGAACGGGGTGGGATGATGGAAGGAGGAAGAAGGGGGCGGGCTGATGGAAAGCGAGAGAATGGGCTGGGGTGTTGTAAAGAAGGAGAATGGGGCGGGGTGATGAAAAGCGGGAGAATGGGGCGGGGTGATGGAAAGCGGGAGAATGGGGCGGGGTGATGGAAAGCGGGAGAATGGGGCGGGGTGATGGAAAGCGGGAGAATGGGGCGAGGTGATGGAAAGCGGGAGAATGGGGCGGGTGATGGAAAGTGGGAGAATGGGGCGGGTTGATGGAAGGAGGGAGAATGGGGAGGGGTGATGGAAAGCGGGGGAATGGGGCGGGATGATGGGAAGCGGAAGAATGGGGCGGGGTGATGGAAAGGGGGAGAATAGGGCGGGCTGATGAAAAGCAGGAGAATGGGGCGGGGTGATGAAAGGAGGGAGAATGGGGCGGGGTGATGGAAGGAGAGAGAAGGGGGCGGGGCGATGGAAAGTGGGAAAATGTGGCGGGGTGATGGAAAGCGGGAGAATGGGGTGGGGTTATGGGAAGCGGGAGAATGGGGCGGGGTGATGGAAAGCAGGAGAAAGGAGCGGGGTGATGGAAAGCGGGAGAATGGGGCGGGGTGATGGAAAGCGGAAGAATGGGGCGGGTGATGGAAGGAGGAAGAAGGGGGCGGGGTGATGGAAAGCGAGAGAATGGGCTGGGGTGTTGGAAAGCGGGAGAATGGGGCGCGGTGATGAAAAGCGGCAGAATGGGGCGGGGTGATGGAAAGCGGGAGAATGGGGCGGGGTGATGGAAAGCGGGAGAATGGGGCGGGTGATGGAAAGCGGGTGAATGGGGCAGGGTGATGGAAAGCGGGAGAATGGGGCGGGGTGATGGAAAGCGGGAGAATGGGGCGGGGTGATGGAAAGTGGGAGAATGGGGCAGGTGATGGAAAGTGGGAGAATAGGGCGGGGTGATGGAAGGAGGGAGAATGGGGAGGGGTGATGGAAAGCGGGGGAATGGGGCGGGATGATGGGAAGCGGAAGAATGGGGCGGGGTGATGGAAAGCAGGAGAATGGGGCGGGCTGATGGAAAACGGGAGAATGGGGCGGGGTGATGGAAGGAGGGAGAATGGGGCGGGGTGATGGAAGGAGAGAGAAGGGGGCAGGGTGATGGAAAGTGGGAAAATGTGGCGGGGTGATGGAAAGCGGGAGAATGGGGTGGGGTTATGGGAAGCAAGAGAATGGGGCGGGGTGATGGAAGGAGGGAGAATGGGGCGGGGTGATGGAAAGCGGGAGATTGGGGCAGGGTGATGGAAAGCGGGAGAATGGGGCGGGGTGATGGAAATCGGAAAAATGGGGCGGGGTGATGGAAAGCGGGAGAATGGGGCTAAGTGATGGAAAGCGGGAGAATGGGCCGGGGTGATGGAAAGCGGGAGAATGGGGCGGAGTGATGGAAGGGGGGAAAATGGGTCGGGGTGATGGAAAGCGGGAGAATGGGGCCGAGTGATGGAAAGCGGGAGAATTGGGCGGGGTGATGGAAAGCGGGAGAAAGGGGCGGGGTGATGGACAGCGGGAGAATTGGGCGGGCTGATGAAAAGCGGGAGAATGGGGCGGGGTGATGGAAGGAGGGAGAATGGGGCGGGGTGATGGAAGGAGAAAGAAGGGGGCCGGGTGATGGAAAGTGGGAAAATGTGGCGGGGTGATGGAAAGCGGGAGAATGGGGTGGGGTTATGGGAAGCGGGAGAATGGGGCGGGGTGATGGAAAGCGGGAGAATGGGGCGGGGTGATGGAATGAGGGAGAATGGGGCGGGGTGATGGAAGGAGGGAGAATGGGGCGGGGTGATGGAAAGCGGGAGAATGGGGCGGGGTGATGGAAGGAGGAAGAATGGGGCGGGGTGATGGAAAGCGGGAGAATAGGGCGAGGTGATGGAAGGAGGGAGAATGGGGAGGGGTGATGGAAAGCGGGGGAATGGGGCGGGATGATGGGAAGCGGAAGAATGGGGCGGGGTGACGGAAAGCGGGAGAATGGGGCGGGGAGATGGAAAGCGGGAGAAAGGGGAGGGGTGATGGAAAGCGGGAGAATGGGGCGGGCTGATGGAAAGCAGGAGAATGGGGCGGGGTGATGGAAGGAGGGAGAATGGGGCGGGTTGATGGAAGGAGAGAGAAGGCGGCGGGGTGATGGAAAGTGGGAGAATGTGGCGGGGTGATGGAAAGCGGGAGAATGGGGTGGGGTTATGGGAAGCGGGAGAATGGGGTGGGGTGATGGAAAGCGGGAGAATGGGGCGGGGTGATGGAAGGAGGGAGAATGGCGTGGGGTGATGGAAGGAGGGAGAATGGGGCGGAGTGATGGAAAGCGGGAGAATGGGGCGGGGTGATGGAAGGAGGGAGAATGGGGCGGGATGATGGAAAGCGGGAGAATGGGGCGGGTGTGATGGAAAGCGGGAGAATGGGGCGGGGTGATGGAAATCGGGAGAATGGGGCGGGGTGATGGAAAGCGGGAGAATGGGGCGGGGTAATGGAAGGAGGGAGAATGGGGCGGGGTGATGGAAGGAGAGAGAAGGGGGCGGGGTGATGGAAAGTGGGAAAATGTGGCGGGGTGATGGAAAGCGGGAGAATGGGGTGTGGTTATGGGAAGCGGGAGAATGGGGCGGGGTGATGGAAAGCGGGAGAATGGGGCGGGGTGATGGAATGAGGGAGAATGGGGCGGGGTGATGGAAGGAGGGAGAATGGGGCCGGGTGATGGAAAGCGGGAGAATGGGGCAGGGTGATGGAAGGAGGAAGAATGGGGCGGGGTGATGGAAAGCGGGAGAATGGGGCGGGGTGATGGAAAGCGAGAGAATGGGGCGGGGTGATGGAAGGAGGGATAATGGGGAGGGGTGATGGAAAGCGGGAGAAAGGGGAGGGGTGATGGAAAGCGGGAGAATGGGGCGGGCTGATGGAAAGCGGGAGAATGGGGCAAGGTGATGGAAGGTGGGAGAATGGGGCGGGGTGATGGAAGGAGAGAGAAGGGGGCGGGGTGATGGAAAGTGGGAGAATGTGGCGGGGTGATGGAAAGCGGGAGAATGGGGTGGGGTTATGGGAAGCGGAAGAATGAGGCGGGGTGATGGAAAGCGGGAGAATGGGGCGGGGTGATGGAAGGAGGGAGAATGGGGCGGGTGATGGAAGGAGGGATAATGGGGCGGAGTGATGGAAAGCGGGAGAATGGGACGGGGTGATGGAAAGCGGGAGAATGGGGCTGAGTGATGGAAAGCGGGAGAATGGAGTGGGGTGATGGAAAGCGGGAGAATGGGGCAGGGTGATGGAAAGCGGGAGAATGGGGCAGGGTGATGGAAAGCAGGAGATTGGGGCAGGGTGATGGAAAGCGGGAGAATGGGGCGGGGTGATGGAAAGCGAGAGAATGGGGCGGGGTGATGGAAGGAGGGAGAATGGGGAGGGGTGATGGAAAGCGGGGGAATGGGGTGGGATGATGGGAAGCGGAAGAATGGGGCGGGGTGATGGAAGGAGGGAGAATGGGGCGGGATGATGGAAAGCGGGAGAATGGGGCGGGGTGATGGAAGGCGGGAGAATGGGGCGGGGTGATGGAAATCGGGAGAATGGGGCTGGGTGATGGAAAGCGGGAGAATGGGGCGGGGTGATGGAAGGAGGGAGAATGGGGCGGGGTGATAGAAAGCGGGAGAATGTGGCGGGGTGATGGAAAGCGGGAGAATGGGGCGAGGTGATGGAAAGCGGGAGAATGGGGAGGGGTGATGGAAGGAGGGAGAATGGGGCGGGGTGATGGAAGGAGGGAGAATGGGGCGGGGTGATGGAAAGCGGGTAAATGGGGCGGGGTGATGGAAGGAGGGAGAATGGGACGGGGTGATGGAAGGAGGGAGAATGGGGTGGGGTGATGGAAAGCGGGAGAATGGGGCGGGGTGATGGAAAGCGGGAGAATGGGGCTGGGTGATGGAAAGCGGGAGAATGGAGTGGGGTGATGGAAAGCGGGAGAATGGGGCAGGGTGATGGAAAGCGGGAGAATGGGGCGGGGTGATGGAAAGCGGGAGATTGGGGCAGGGTGATGGAAAGCGGGAGAATGGGGCGGGGTGATGGAAAGCGGGAGAATAGGGCTGGGTGATGGAAAGCGGGAGAATGGGGCGGGGTGATGGAAAGCGGGAGAATGGGGCGGGGTGATGGAAGGAGGGAGAATGAGGCGAGGTGATGGAAGGAGGGAGAATGGGGCGGGGTGATGGAAAGTGGGAGAATGGGTCGGAGTGATGGAAAGCGGGAGAATGGGGCGGAGTGATGGAAAGCGGGAGAATGGGGCGGGGTGATGGAAAGAGGGAGAATGGGGCGAGGTGATGGAAAGCGGGAGAATGGGGTAGGGTGATGGAAAGCGGGAGAATGGGGCGGGGTGATGGAAAGCGGGAGATTGGGGCAGGGTGATGGAAAGCGGGAGAATGGGGCTGGGTGATGGAAAGCGGGAGAATGGGGCGGGGTGATGGAAAGCGGGAGAATGGGGCGGGGTGATGGAAGGAGGGAAAATGAGGCGGGGTGATGGAAGGAGGGAGAATGGGGAGGGGTGATGGAATGTGGGAGAATGGGTCGGGGTGATGGAAAGCAGGAGAATGGGGCGGAGTGATGGAAAGCATGAGAATGGGGCGCGGTGATGGAAAGCGGGAGAATGGGGCGGGGTGATGGAAGGCGGGAGAATGGGGCGGGGTGATGGAAAGCGGGAGAATGGGGCGGGGTGATGGAAAGCGGGAGAATGGGGCAAGTGATGGAAAGCGGGTGAATGGGGCAGGGTGATGGAAAGCGGGAGAATGGGGCGGGGTGATTGAAAGCAAAAGAATGGGGCGGGGTGATGGAAAGCGGGAGAATGGGGCGGGGTGATGGAAAGCGGGAGAATGGGGGCGGGTGATGGAAAGCGGAAGAATGGGGCGGGGTGATGGAAGGAGGGAGAATGGGGAGGGGTGATGGAAAGCGGTGGAATGGGGCGGGATGATTGGAAGCGGAAGAATGGGGCGGGGTGATGGAAAGCGGGAGAATGGGGCGGGGTGATGGAAAGCGGGAGAATGGGGCGGGGAGATGGAAAGTGGGAGAAAGGGGCGGGGTGATGGAAAGCGGGAGAATGGGGCGGGCTGATGGAAAGCAGGAGAATGGGGCGGGGTGATGGAAGGAGGGAGAATGGGGCGGGGTGATGGAAGGAGAGAGAAGGGGGCGGGGTGATGGAAAGTGGGAAAATGTGGCGGGGTGATGGAAAGCGGGAGAATGGGGTGGGGTTATGGGAAGCGGGAGAATGGGGCGGGGTGATGGAAAACGGGAGAATGGGGCGGGGTGATGGAATGAGGGAGAATAGGGCGGGGTGATGGAAGGAGGGAGAATGGGGCGGGGTGATGGAAAGCGGGAGAATGGGGCGGGGTGATGGAAGGAGGGAGAATGGGGCGGGGTGATGGAAAGCGGGAGAATGGGGCGGCGTTATGGAAAGCGGGAGAATGGGGCGGTGTGATGGAAAGCGAGAGAATGGGGCGGGGTGATGGAAGAAGGGAGAATGGGGAGGGGTGATGGAAAGCGGGAGAATGGGGCGAGATGATGGGAAGTGGAAGAATGGGGCGGGGTGATAGAAGGAGGGAGAATGGGGCGGGGTGATGGAAGAAGAGAGAAGGGGGCAGGGTGATGGAAAGTGGGAGAATGTGGCGGGGTGATGGAAAGCGGGAGAATGGGGTGGGGTTATGGGAAGCAGGAGATTTGGGTGAGGGATAGAGGGAGAATGGGGCGGGGTGATGGAAAGAGGCGAAAGAATGGGGCGGGGTGAAGGAAAGCGGGAGAATGGGGCGGGTGATCGAAAGAGGGAGAATGGGGCGGGGTGATGGAAAGCGGGAGAATGGGGCGGGCTGATGGAAAGCGGGAGAATGGGGCGGGGTGATGGAAAGCGGGAGAATGGGGCAAGGTGATCGAAGGAGGGAGAATGGGGTGGGGTGATGGAAGGAGGGAGAATGGGGCGGAGTGATGGAAAGCGGAAGAATGGGGCGGGGTGATGGAAGGAGGGAGAATGGGGCGGGGTGATGGAAAGCGAGAGAATGGGGCGGGGTGATGGAAGGAGGGAGAATGGGGAGGGGTGATGGAAAGCGGGGGAATGGGGCGGGGTGATAGAAGGAGGGAGAATGGGGCGGGGTGATAGAAAGCGGGAGAATGTGGCGGGGTGATGGAAAGCGGGAGAATGGGGCGGGGTGATGGAAGGAGGGAGAATGGGGCGGGGTGATGGAAGGAGGGAGAATGGGGCGGGGTGATGGAAAGCGGGAGAATGGGGCGGGGTGATGGAAAGCAGAAGAATGGGGCGGGGTGATGGAAAGCGGGAGAATGGGGCGAGGTGATGGAAAGCGGGAGAATGGGGCGGGTGATGGAAAGCGGAAGAATGGGGCGGGGTGATGGAAGGAGGGAGAATGGGGAGTGGTGATGGAAAGCGGTGGAATGGGGCGGGATGATGGGAAGCGGAAGAATGGGGCGGGGTGATGGAAGGAGGGAGAATGGGGCGGGGTGATGGAAAGCGGGAGAATGGGGCGGGGAGATGGAAAGCGGGAGAAAGGGGCGGGGTGATGGAAAGCGGGAGAATGGGGCGGGCTGATGGAAAGCGGGAGAATGGGGCGGGGTGATGGATGGAGGGAGAATGGGGCGGGGTGATGGAAGGAGAGAGAAGGGGGCGGGGTGATGGAAAGTGGGAAAATGTGGCGGGGTGATGGAAAGCGGGAGAATGGGGTGGGGTTATGGGAAGCGGAAGAATGGGGCGGGGTGATGGAAAGCGGGAGAATGGGGCGGGGTGATGGAAAGCAGAAGAATGGGGCGGGGTGATGGAAAGCGGGAGAATGGGGCGAGGTGATGGAAAGCGGGAGAATGGGGCGGGTGATGGAAAGCGGAAGAATGGGGCGGGGTGATGGAAGGAGGGAGAATGGGGAGTGGTGATGGAAAGCGGTGGAATAGGGCGGGATGATGGGAAGCGGAAGAATGGGGCGGGGTGATGGAAGGAGGGAGAATGGGGCGGGGTGATGGAAAGCGGGAGAATGGGGCGGGGAGATGGAAAGCGGGAGAAAGGGGCGGGGTGATGGAAAGCGGGAGAATGGGGCGGGCTGATGGAAAGCGGGAGAATGGGGCGGGGTGATGGATGGAGGGAGAATGGGGCGGGGTGATGGAAGGAGAGAGAAGGGGGCGGGGTGATGGAAAGTGGGAAAATGTGGCGGGGTGATGGAAAGCGGGAGAATGGGGTGGGGTTATGGGAAGCGGAAGAATGGGGCGGGGTGATGGAAAGCGGGAGAATGGGGCGGGGTGATGGAATGAGGGAGAATGGGGCGGGGTGCTGGAAGGAGGGAGAATGGGGCGGGGTGATGGAAAGCAGGAGAATGGGGCGGGGTGATGGAAAGCGGGAGAATGGGGGGGGGGTGATGGAAAGCGGGAGAATGGGGCGGGGTGATGGAAAGCGAGAGAATGGGGCGGGGTGATGGAAGGAGGGAGAATGGGGAGGGGTGATGGAAAGCGGGGGTATGGGGCGGGATGATGGGAAGCGGAAGAATGGGGCGGGGTGATGGAAAGCGGGAGAATGGGGCGGGGTGATGGAAAGCGGGAGAATGGGGCGGGGAGATGGAAAGCGGGAGAAAGGGGAGGGGTGATGGAAAGCGGGAGAATGGGGTGGGCTGATGGAAAGCAGGAGAATGGGGCGCGGTGATGGAAGGAGGGAGAATGGGGCGGGGTGTTGGAAGGAGAGAGAAGGGGGCGGGGTGATGGAAAGTGGGAGAATGTGGCGGGGTGATGGAAAGCGGGAGAATGGGGTGGGGTTATGGGAAGCACGAGAATGGGGCGGGGTGATGGAATGCGGAAGAATGGGGCGGGGTGATGGAAGGAGGGAGAATGGGGCGGGTTGATGGAAGGAGGGAGAATGGGGCGGAGTGATGGAAAGCGGGAGAATGGGGCGGGGTGATGGAAGGAGGGAGAAAGGGGCGGGGTGATGGAAAGCGAGAGAATGGGGCGGGGTGATGGAAAGCGGGAGAATGGGGCGGGGTGATGGAAGGAGGGAGAATGGGGAGGGGTGATGGAAAGCGGGGGAATGGGGCGGGGTGATAGAAGGAGGGAGAATGGGGCGGGGTGATAGAAAGCGGGAGAATGTGGCGGGGTGATGGAAAGCGGGAGAATGGGGCGGGGTGATGGAAGGAGGGAGAATGGGGCGGGGTGATGGAAGGAGGGAGAATGGGGCGGGGTGATGGAAAGCGGGAGAATGGGGCGGGGTGATGGAAAGCAGAAGAATGGGGCGGGGTGATGGAAAGCGGGAGAATGGGGCGAGGTGATGGAAAGCGGGAGAATGGGGCGGGTGATGGAAAGCGTAAGAATGGGGCGGGGTGATGGAAGGAGGGAGAATGGGGAGTGGTGATGTAAAGCGGTGGAATGGGGCGGGATTATGGGAAGCGGAAGAATGGGGCGGGGTGATGGAAAGCGGGAGAATGGGGTGGGGTGATGGAAAGCGAGAGAATGGGGCGGGGAGATGGAAAGCGGGAGAAAGGGGCGGGGTGATGGAAAGCGGGAGAATGGGGCGGGCTGATGGAAAGCGGGAGAATGGGGCGGGGTGATGGATGGAGGGAGAATGGGGCGGGGTGATGGAAGGAGAGAGAAGGGGGCGGGGTGATGGAAAGTGGGAAAATGTGGCGGGGTGATGGAAAGCGGGAGAATGGGGTGGGGTTAAAGGAAGCGGAAGAATGGGGCGGGGTGATGGAAAGCGGGAGAATGGGGCGGGGTGATGGAATGAGGGAGAATGGGGCAGGGTGATGGAAGGAGGGAGAATGGGGCGGGGTGATGGAAAGCGGGAGAATGGGGCAGGGTGATGGAAAGCGGGAGAATGGGGGGGGGGGGTGATGGAAAGCGAGAGAATGGGGCGGGGTGATGGAAAGCGAGAGAATGGGGCGGGGTGATGGAAGGAGGGAGAATGGGGAGGGGTGATGGAAAGCGGGGGTATGGGGCGGGATGATGGGAAGCGGAAGAATGGGGCGGGGTGATGGAATGCGGGAGAATGGGGCGGGGTGATGGAAAGCGGGAGAATGGGGCGGGGAGATGGAAAGCGGGAGAAAGGGGAGGGGTGATGGAAAGCGGGAGAATGGGGCGGGCTGATGGAAAGCAGGAGAATGGGGCGCGGTGATGGAAGGAGGGACAATGGGGCGGGGTGTTGGAAGGAGAGAGAAGGGGGCGGGGTGATGGAAAGTGGGAGAATGTGGCGGGGTGATGGAAAGCGGGAGAATGGGGTGGGGTTATGGGAAGAAGGAGAATGGGGCGGGGTGATGGAATGCGGGAGAATGGGGCGGGGTGATGGAAGGAGGGAGAATGGGGCGGGGTGATGGAAGGAGGGAGAATGGGGCGGAGTGATGGAAAGCGGGAGAATGGGGCGGGGTGATGGAAGGAGGGAGAATGGGGCGGGATGATGGAAAGCGGGAGAATGGGGCGGGGTGATGGAAAGCGGGAGAATGGGGCGGGGTGATGGAAAGCGGGAGAATGGGGCGGGGTGATGGAAATCGGGAGAATGGGGCGGGGTGATGGAAAGCGGGAGAATGGGGTGGGGTGATTGAAATCGGGAGAATGGGGCGGGGTGATGGAAAGCGGGAGAATGGGGCGGGGTGATGGAAGGAGGGAGAATGGGGCGGGGTGATAGAAAGCGGGAGAATGTGGCGGGGTGATGGAAAGTGGGAGAATGGGGTGGGGTTATGGGAAGCGGGAGAATGGGGCGGGGTGATGGAAAGCGGGAGAATGGGGCGGGGTGATGGAAGGAGGGAGAATGGGGCGGGGTGATGGAAGGAGGGAGAATGGGGCGGGGTGATGGAAAGCGGGAGAATGGGGCGGGGTGATGGAAGAAGGGAGAATGGGGCGGGGTGATGGAAAGCGGGAGAATGGGGCGGGGTGATGGAAAGCGGGAGAATGGGGCGGGGTGATGGAAAGCGGGAGAATGGGGCTGGGTGATGGAAAGCGGGAGAATGGGGCGGGGTGATGGAAAGCGGGAGAATGGGGCGGGGTGATGGAAGGAGGGAGAATGGGGCGGGGTGATGGAAAGCGGGAGATTGGGGCAGGGTGAAGGAAAGCAGGAGAATGGGGCGGGGTGATGGAAAGCGGGAAAATGGGGCGGGGTGATGGAAAGCGGGAGAATGGGGCTGGGTGATGGAAAGCGAGAGAATGGGGCGGGGTGATAAAAGCGGGAGAATGGGGCGGGGTGATGGAAGGAGGGAGAATGAGGCGGGGTGATGGAAGGAGGGAGAATGGGGGGGGGTGATGGAAAGTGGGAGAATGGGGCGGGGTGATGGAAAGCGGGAGAATGGGACGGAGTGATGGAAAGCGGGAGAATGGGGCGGGGTGATGGAAAGCGGGAGAATGGGGCGGGGTGTTGGAAAGCGGGAGAATGGGGCGGGGTGATGAAAAGCGGGAGAATGGGGCGGGTTGATGGAAAGCGGGAGAATGGGGCGGGGTGATGGAAAGCGGGAGAATGGGGCGGGTGATGGAAAGCGGGAGAATGGGGCGGGTGATGGAAAGCGGGAGAATGGGGCGGGGTGATGGAAGGAGGGAGAATGGGGAGGGGTGATGGAAAGCGGGGGAATGGGGCGGGATGATGGGAAGCGGAAGAATGGGGCGGGTTGATGGAAAGCGAGAGAATGGGGCGGGGAGATGGAAAGCGGGAGAAAGGGGCGGGGTGATGGAAAGCGGGAGAATGGGGCGGGCTGATGGAAAGCGGGAGAATGGGGCGGGCTGATGGAAGGAGGGAGAATGGGGCGGGGTGATGGAAGGAGGGAGAAGGGGGCGGGGTGATGGAAAGCGGGAGAATGGGCCGGGGTGATGGAAAGCGGGAGAATGGGGCGGGGTGATGGAAAGCGGGAGAATGGGGCGGGGTGATGGAAAGCGGGAGAATGGGGCGGGCTGATGGAAAGCGGGAGAATGGGGCAGGGTGATGGAAGGAGGGAGAATGGGGCGGGGTGATGGAAGGAAGGAGAATGGGGCGGGGTGATGGAAAGCGGGAGAATGTGGCGGGGTGATGGAAAGCGGGAGAATGGGGTGGGGTTATGGGAAGCGGGAGAATGGGGCGGGGTGATGGAAAGCGGGAGAATGGGGCGGGGTGATGGAAGGAGGGAGAATGAGGCGGGGTGATGGAAGGAGGGAGAATGGGGCGAGATGATGGAAAGCGGGAGAATGGGGCGGGGTGATGGAAGTAGGGAGAATGGGGCGGGGTGATGGAAAGCGGGAGAATGGGGCGGGGTGATGGAAAGCGGGAGAATGGGGCGGGGTGATGGAAAGCGGGAGAATGGGGCGGGGTGATGGAAAGCGGGAGAATGGGGCGCGGTGATGGAAGGAGGGAGAATGGGGCGGGGTGATGGAAAGCGGAAGATTGGGGCAGGGTGATGGAAAGCGGGAGAATGGGGCGGGTGATGGAAAGCGGGGGAATGGGGCGGGATGATGGGAAGCGGAAGAAAGGGGCGGGGTGATGGAAAGCGGGAGAATGGGGCGGGGTGATGGAAAGCGGGAGAATGGGGCGGGGAGATGGAAAGCGGGAGAAAGGGGCGGGGTGATGGAAAGCGGGAGAATGGGGCGGGCTGATGGAAAGCGGGAGAATGGGGCGGGGTGATGGAAGGAGGGAGAATGGGGCGGGGTGATGGAAGGAGGGAGAAGGGGGCGGGGTGATGGAAAGCGGGAGAATGGGGTGGGGTGATGGAAAGCGGGAGAATGGGGCGGGGTGATGGAAAGCGGGAGAATGGGGCGGGGTGATGGACGGAGGGAGAATGGGGCGGGGTGATGGAAGGAAGGAGAATGGGGCGGGGTGATGGAAAGCGGGAGAATGTGGCGGGGTGATTGAAAGCAGGAGAATGGGGTGCGGTTATGGGAAGCTGGAGAATGGGGCGGGGTGATGGAAAGCGGGAGAATGGGGCGAGGTGATGGAAGGAGGGAGAATGGGGCGGGTTGATGGAAGGAGGGAGAATGGGGCGGGGTGATAGAAAGCGGGAGAATGGGGCGGGGTGATGGAAGGAGGGAGAATGGGGCGGGGTGATGGAAAGCGGGAGAATGGGGCGGGGTGATGGAAAGCGGGAGAATGGAGCGGGGTGTGGAAAGCGGGAGAATGGAGCGGGGTGATGGAAAGCGGGAGAATGGGGCGGGGTCATGGAAAGCGGGAAAATGGGGCGGGGTGATGGAAGGAGGGAGAATGGGGCGGGGTGATGGAAAGCGGAAGATTGGGGCAGGGTGATGGAAAGCAGGAGATTGGGGCGGGGTGATGGAAAGCGGGAAAATGGGGCGGGGTGATGGAAAGCGGGAGAATGGGGCGGGGTGATGGACAGCGGGAGAATGGGGCGGGGTGATGGAAGGAGGGAGAATGGGGCGGGGTGATGGAAAGCGGGGGAATGGGGCGGGGAGATGGAAAGCGGGAGAATGGGGCGGGGTGATGGAAAGCAGGAAAATGGGGCGGGGTGATGGAAAGCGGGAGAATGGGGCTGGGCGATGGAAAGCGGGAGAATGGGACGGGGTGATGGAAAGCGGGAGAATGGGGCGGGGTGATGGAAAGCGGGAGAATCGGGAGGGGTGTTGGAAAGCGGGAGAATGGGGCGTGGTGATTAAAAGCGGGAGAATGGGGCGGGGTGATGGAGAGCGGGAGAATGGGGCGGGGTGATGGAAAGCGGGAGATGGGGCGGGTGATGGAAAGCGGGTGAATGGTGTGGGGTGATGGAAAGCGGGAGAATGGGGCGGGGTGATGGAAAGCAGAAGAATGGGGCGGGGTGATGGAAAGCAGGAGAATGGGGCGGGTGCTGGAAAGCGGGAGAATGGGGCGGGGAGATGGAAAGCGGGAGAATGGGGCGGGGTGATGGAAGGAGGGAGAATGGGGCGGGGTGATGGAAGGAGGGAAAATGAAGCGGGGTGATGGAAGGAGGGAGAATGGGGCGGGGTGATGGAAAGCAGGAGAATGGGGCGGGCTGATAGAAAGCGGGAGAATGGGGCGGGGTGATGGATTGCAGGAGAATGGGGCGGGGTGATGGAAGAAGGGAGAAGGGGGCGTGGTGATGGAAAGCGGGAGAATGGGGCGGGGTGATGGAAAGCGGGAGAATTGGGCGGGGTGATGGAAGGCGAGAGAATGGGGCGGGGTGATGGAAAGCGGGAGAATGGGGCGGGGTGATGAAAAGCGGGAGAATGGGGCGGGGTGATGGAAAGCGGGAGAATGGGGCGGGGTGATGGAAAGAGGGAGAATGGGGCGGGGTGATGGAAAGCGGGAGAATGGGGCGGGGTGATGGAAAGAGGGAGAATGGAGAGGGGTGATAGAAAGAGGGAGAATTGGGCGGGGTGATGGAAAACGGGAGAATGGAGCGAGGTGATGGAAAGCGGGAGAATGGGGCGGGGTGATGGAAAGCGGGAGAATGGGGCGGGGTGATGGAAAGAGGGAAAATGGGGCGTGGTGATGGAAAGCGGGAGAATTGGGCAGGGTGATGGAAAGCGGGAGAATGGAGCGGGGTGGTGGAAAGCGGGAGAATGGGGCGGGGTGATGGAAAGAGGGAGAATGAGGAGGGGTGATGGAAAGAGGGAGAATTGGGCGGGGTGATGGAAAGCGGGAGAATGGAGCGGGGTGATGGAAAGAGGGAGAACGGGGCGGGGTGATGGAAAGCGGGAGAATGGGGCGGGGTGATGGAAAGAGGGAGAATGGGGCGGGGTGATGGAAAGCGGGAGAATGGGGCGGGGTGATGGAAAGAGGGAGAATGGGGCAGGGTGGTGGAAAGAGGGAGAATGGGGCGTGGTGATGGAAAGCGGGAGAATGGGGCGGGGTGATGGAAAGAGGGAGAATGGGGAGGGGTGATGGAAAGAGGGAGAATTGGGCGGGGTGATGGAAAGCGGGAGAATGGAGCGGGGTGATGGAACGAGGGAAAATGGGGCGGGGTGAAGGAATGCGGGAGAATGGGATGGAAAGAGGGAGAATGGGGCGGGGTGATGGAAAGCGGGAGAATGGGGCGGGGTGATGGAAAGCGGGAGAATGGGGCTGGGTGATGGAAAGCGGGAGAATGGGGCGGGGTGATGGAAAGCGGGAGAATGGGGCGGGGTGATGGAAAGCGGAGAATGGGGCGGGGTGATGGAAATCGGGAAAATGGGGCGGGGTGATGGAAAGCGGGAGAATGGGGCGGGGTGATAGAAAGAGGGAGAATGGGGCGGGGTAATGGAAGGCGGGAGAATGGGGCGGGGTGATGGAACGTGGGAGAATTGGGCAGGGTGATGGAAAGATGGAGAATGGGGCGGGGTGATGGAAGGCGGGAGAATGGGGCAGGGTGATGGAAAGAGGGAGAATGGGGCGGGGTGATAGAAAGCAGGAGAATGGGGCGGGGTGATGGAAAGAGGGAGAATGGGGAGGGGTGATGGAAAGAGTGAGAATGGGGTGGGGTGATGGAAAGCAGGAGAATGGGGCAGGGTGTTGGAAAGCAGGAGAATGGGGCGGGGTGATGGAAATCGGGAGAATGGGGCGGGGTGATGGAAAGCGGAGAATGGGGCGGGGTGATGGAAATCTCACCATCTGATGAAAGAGTTACTTTCATCTCACCATCTGATGAAAGAGGTACTTTCATCTCACCATCTGATGAATAACAACCTTCATCTCACCATCTGATGAAAGAGTTACTTTCATCTCACCATCTGATGAAAGAGTTACTTTCATCTCACCATCTGATGAAAGAGTTACTTTCATCTCACCATCTGATGAAAGAGTTACTTTCGGGTGCGCATTGCACGGTTTGAGTGATGCAAGCCCTACGTCGTATACGCACCTGAGACTGTGCTGATGGCCTGGTACATTGTCCTGGTTGCACACGTAACTGGTCGCTGTCTGGATGACACGTGCTGTTGCATCTGCCATTGTCGTACTCTCGCTGTACTTGAGCTGTTTCACTGGCGCATCCTGGGTCCTGATGGCTGCTGGCAACGTGCGTACCGCTTGTGATGCTGACATGCTGGTTCCTACGTGCTGTGACTTTGCAAGGCTGCCTACATGCGCTGGCGATGCTGGTGCTGATTCCGTGTTCCTCGACTGGGTCCTGTGATGTGCTGGTGGCTCTGACAGTACCGGGACTGCTACAAGGGAACGGTCAACTGACACTGGCGGGGTCCGGTACACTTCCTGCGACTGGGTCCTGTCCGCAGCGGCCCGTGCAAATGGATCTCCCATGCTACATGGCTGTGCAAGGTGCAACGGCAACTTGTTGTGTCAGGTTTTCAGCATCCTGTGACGTCGCAGGGATCAGGCATCGGAACCTGTGGCAGTGCTCAAAGCAGGAGAATGGGGCAGGGTGTTGGAAAGCAGGAGAATGGGGCGGGGTGATGGAAATCGGGAGAATGGGGCGGGGTGATGGAAAGCGGAGAATGGGGCGGGGTGATGGAAATCTCACCATCTGATGAAAGAGTTACTTTCATCTCACCATCTGATGAAAGAGGTACTTTCATCTCACCATCTGATGAATAACAACCTTCATCTCACCATCTGATGAAAGAGTTACTTTCATCTCACCATCTGATGAAAGAGTTACTTTCATCTCACCATCTGATGAAAGAGTTACTTTCATCTCACCATCTGATGAAAGAGGTACTTTCATCTCACCATCTGATGAATAACAACCTTCATCTCACCATCTGATGAAAGAGTTACTTTCATCTCACTATCTGATGAAAGAGTTACTTTCATCTCACCATCTGATGAAAGAGTTACTTTCATCTCACCATCTGATAAAAGAGGTACTTTCATCTCACTATCTGATGAAAGAATTACTTTCATCTCACCATCTGAGGAAAGAGGTACTTTCATCTCACCATCTGATGAAAGAGTTACTTTCATCTCACCATCTGATGAAAGAGGAACTTTCATCTCACCATCTGATGAAAGAGGTACTTTCATCTCACCATCTGATGAAAGAGTTACTTTCATCTCACCATCTGATGAAAGAGTTGCTTTCATCTCACCATTTGATGAAAGAGTTGCTCTCATCTCACCATCTGATGAAAGAGGTACTTTCATCTCACCATCTGATGAAAGAATTACTTTCATATCACCATCTGATGAAAGAGGTACTTTCATCTCACCATCTAATGAAAGAGTTGCTTTCATCTCACCATCTGATGAAAGAGTTACTTTCATCTCACCATCTGAAGAAAGAGTTGCTTTTATCTCACCATCTGATGAAAGAGTTGCTTTCATCTCACCATCTGGTGAAAGAGGTACTTTCATCTCACCATCTGATGAAAGAATTACTTTCATATCACCATCTGATGAAAGAGGTACTTTCATCTCACCATCTGATGAAAGAGTTGCTTTCATCTCACCATCTGATGAAAGAGTTACTTTGATCTCACCATCTGATGAAAGAGGTACTTTTATCTCACCATCTGATGAAAGAGTTACTTTCATCTCACCATCTGATGAAAGAGTTTCTTTCATCTCACCATCTGATGAAAGAGTTACTTTCATCTCACCATTTGAAGAAAGAGTTGCTTTCATCTCACCATCTGATGAAAGAGTTGCTTTCATCTCACCATCTGATGAAAGAGGTACTTTCATCTCACCATCTGATGAAAGAGGAACTTTCATCTCACCATCTGATGAAAGAATTACTTTCATCTCACCATCTGATGAAAGAGGTACTTTCATCTCACCATCTGATGAAAGAGTTGCTTTCATCTCACCATCTGATGAAAGAGTTACTTTGATCTCACCATCTGATAAAAGAGGTACTTTCATCTCACCATCTGATGAAAGAGTTGCTTTCATCTCACCATCTGATGAAAGAGTTACTTTCATCTCACCATCTGATGAAAGAGTTGCTTTCATCTCACCATTTGATGAAAGAGGTATTTTCATCTCACCATCTGATGAAAGAGTTACTTTCATCTCACCATCTGATGAAAGAGGTACTTTCATCTCACCATTTGATGAAAGAGGTACTTTCATCTCACCATCTGATGAAAGAGGTACTTTCATCTCACCATCTGATGAAAGAGTTACTTTCATCTCACCATCTGAAGAAAGAGTTGCTTTCATCTCACCATCTGATGAAAGAGTTGCTTTCATCTCACCATCTGATGAAAGAGGTACTTTCATCTCACCATCTGATGAAAGAATTACTTTCATATCACGATCTGATGAAAGAGGTACTTTCATCTCACCATCTGATGAAAGAATTTCTTTCATATCACCATCTGATGAAAGAGGTACTTTCATCACACCATCTGATGAAAGAGTTGCTTTCATCTCACCATCTGATGAAAGAGTTACTTTGATCTCACCATTTGATGAAAGAGGTACTTTCATCTCACCATCTGATGAAAGAGTTACTTTCATCTCACCATCTGATGAAAGAGTTGCTTTCATCTCACCATCTGATGAAAGAGTTACTTTCATCTCACCATCTGAAGAAAGAGTTGCTTTCATCTCACCATCTGATGAAAGAGTTGCTTTCATCTCACCATCTGATGAAAGAGGTACTTTCATCTCACCATCTGATGAAAGAGTTACTTTCATCTCACCATCTGAAGAAAGAGTTGCTTTCATCTCACCATCTGATGAAAGAGTTGCTTTCATCTCACCATCTGATGAAAGAGGTACTTTCATCTCACCATCTGATGAAAGAATTACTTTCATATCACGATCTGATGAAAGAGGTACTTTCATCTCACCATCTGATGAAAGAATTTCTTTCATATCACCATCTGATGAAAGAGGTACTTTCATCACACCATCTGATGAAAGAGTTGCTTTCATCTCACCATCTGATGAAAGAATTACTTTCATATCACCATCTGATGAAAGAGGTACTTTCATCTCTCCATCTAATGAAAGAGTTGCTTTCATCTCACCATCTGATGAAAGAGGTACTTTCATCTCACCATCTGATGAAAGAGTTACTTTCATCTCACCATCTGAAGAAAGAGTTGCTTTCATCTCACCATCTGATGAAAGAGTTGCTTTCATCTCACCATCTGATGAAAGAGGTACTTTCATCTCACCATCTGATGAAAGAATTACTTTCATATCACGATCTGATGAAAGAGGTACTTTCATCTCACCATCTGATGAAAGAATTTCTTTCATATCACCATCTGATGAAAGAGGTACTTTCATCACACCATCTGATGAAAGAGTTGCTTTCATCTCACCATCTGATGAAAGAGTTACTTTGATCTCACCATTTGATGAAAGAGGTACTTTCATCTCACCATCTGATGAAAGAGTTACTTTCATCTCACCATCTGATGAAAGAGTTGCTTTCATCTCACCATCTGATGAAAGAGTTACTTTCATCTCACCATCTGAAGAAAGAGTTGCTTTCATCTCACCATCTGATGAAAGAGTTGCTTTCATCTCACCATCTGATGAAAGAGTTGCTTTCATCTCACCATCTAATGAAAGAGTTGCTTTCATCTCACCATCTGATGAAAGAGGTATTTTCATCTCACCATCTGATGAAAGAGGTACTTTCATCTCAGCATCTGATGAAAGAATTACTTTCATCTCACCATCTGATGAAAGAGGTACTTTCATCTCACCATCTGATGAAAGAGTTGCTTTCATCTCACCATCTGATGAAAGAGTTACTTTGATCTCACCATCTGATAAAAGAGGTACTTTCATCTCACCATCTGATGAAAGAGTTGCTTTCATCTCACCATCTGATGAAAGAGTTGCTTTCATCTCACCATCTTATGAAAGAGGTACTTTCATCTCACCATCTGATGAAAGAGGTACTTTCATCTCACCATCTGATGAAAGAATTACTTTCATCTCACCATCTGATGAAAGAGGTACTTTCATCTCACCATCTGATGAAAGAGTTGCTTTCATCTCACCATCTGATGAAAGAGTTACTTTCATCTCACCATCTTATGAAAGAGGTACTTTCATCTCACCATCTGATGAAAGAGTTACTTTCATCTCACCATCTGATAAAAGAGTTACTTTCATCTCACCATCTGATGAAAGAGGTACTTTCATCTCACCATCTGATGAAAGAGTTGCTTTCATCTCACCATCTGATGAAAGAGGTACTTTCATCTCACCATCTGATGAAAGAATTACTTTCATATCACCATCTGATGAAAGAGGTACTTTCATCTCACCATCTGATGAAAGAGTTGCTTTCATCTCACCATCTGATGAAAGAGTTACTTTGATCTCACCATCTGATAAAAGAGGTACTTTCATCTCACCATCTGATGAAAGAGTTACTTTCATCTCACCATCTGATGAAAGAGTTGCTTTCATCTCACCATCTGATGAAAGAGGTACTTTCATCTCACCATCTGATGAAAGAATTACTTTCATATCACGATCTGATGAAAGAGGTACTTTCATCTCACCATCTGATGAAAGAATTTCTTTCATATCACCATCTGATGAAAGAGGTACTTTCATCACACCATCTGATGAAAGAGTTGCTTTCATCTCACCATCTGATGAAAGAGTTACTTTGATCTCACCATTTGATGAAAGAGGTACTTTCATCTCACCATCTGATGAAAGAGTTACTTTCATCTCACCATCTGATGAAAGAGTTGCTTTCATCTCACCATCTGATGAAAGAGTTACTTTCATCTCACCATCTGAAGAAAGAGTTGCTTTCATCTCACCATCTGATGAAAGAGTTGCTTTCATCTCACCATCTGATGAAAGAGGTACTTTCATCTCACCATCTGATGAAAGAGTTACTTTCATCTCACCATCTGAAGAAAGAGTTGCTTTCATCTCACCATCTGATGAAAGAGTTGCTTTCATCTCACCATCTGATGAAAGAGGTACTTTCATCTCACCATCTGATGAAAGAATTACTTTCATATCACGATCTGATGAAAGAGGTACTTTCATCTCACCATCTGATGAAAGAATTTCTTTCATATCACCATCTGATGAAAGAGGTACTTTCATCACACCATCTGATGAAAGAGTTGCTTTCATCTCACCATCTGATGAAAGAATTACTTTCATATCACCATCTGATGAAAGAGGTACTTTCATCTCTCCATCTAATGAAAGAGTTGCTTTCATCTCACCATCTGATGAAAGAGGTACTTTCATCTCACCATCTGATGAAAGAGTTACTTTCATCTCACCATCTGAAGAAAGAGTTGCTTTCATCTCACCATCTGATGAAAGAGTTGCTTTCATCTCACCATCTGATGAAAGAGGTACTTTCATCTCACCATCTGATGAAAGAATTACTTTCATATCACGATCTGATGAAAGAGGTACTTTCATCTCACCATCTGATGAAAGAATTTCTTTCATATCACCATCTGATGAAAGAGGTACTTTCATCACACCATCTGATGAAAGAGTTGCTTTCATCTCACCATCTGATGAAAGAGTTACTTTGATCTCACCATTTGATGAAAGAGGTACTTTCATCTCACCATCTGATGAAAGAGTTACTTTCATCTCACCATCTGATGAAAGAGTTGCTTTCATCTCACCATCTGATGAAAGAGTTACTTTCATCTCACCATCTGAAGAAAGAGTTGCTTTCATCTCACCATCTGATGAAAGAGTTGCTTTCATCTCACCATCTGATGAAAGAGTTGCTTTCATCTCACCATCTAATGAAAGAGTTGCTTTCATCTCACCATCTGATGAAAGAGGTATTTTCATCTCACCATCTGATGAAAGAGGTACTTTCATCTCAGCATCTGATGAAAGAATTACTTTCATCTCACCATCTGATGAAAGAGGTACTTTCATCTCACCATCTGATGAAAGAGTTGCTTTCATCTCACCATCTGATGAAAGAGTTACTTTGATCTCACCATCTGATAAAAGAGGTACTTTCATCTCACCATCTGATGAAAGAGTTGCTTTCATCTCACCATCTGATGAAAGAGTTACTTTGATCTCACCATTTGATGAAAGAGGTACTTTCATCTCACCATCTGATGAAAGAGTTACTTTCATCTCACCATCTGATGAAAGAGTTGCTTTCATCTCACCATCTGATGAAAGAGTTACTTTCATCTCACCATCTGAAGAAAGAGTTGCTTTCATCTCACCATCTGATGAAAGAGTTGCTTTCATCTCACCATCTGATGAAAGAGTTGCTTTCATCTCACCATCTAATGAAAGAGTTGCTTTCATCTCACCATCTGATGAAAGAGGTATTTTCATCTCACCATCTGATGAAAGAGGTACTTTCATCTCAGCATCTGATGAAAGAATTACTTTCATCTCACCATCTGATGAAAGAGGTACTTTCATCTCACCATCTGATGAAAGAGTTGCTTTCATCTCACCATCTGATGAAAGAGTTACTTTGATCTCACCATCTGATAAAAGAGGTACTTTCATCTCACCATCTGATGAAAGAGTTGCTTTCATCTCACCATCTGATGAAAGAGTTGCTTTCATCTCACCATCTTATGAAAGAGGTACTTTCATCTCACCATCTGATGAAAGAGGTACTTTCATCTCACCATCTGATGAAAGAATTACTTTCATCTCACCATCTGATGAAAGAGGTACTTTCATCTCACCATCTGATGAAAGAGTTGCTTTCATCTCACCATCTGATGAAAGAGTTACTTTCATCTCACCATCTTATGAAAGAGGTACTTTCATCTCACCATCTGATGAAAGAGTTACTTTCATCTCACCATCTGATAAAAGAGTTACTTTCATCTCACCATCTGATGAAAGAGGTACTTTCATCTCACCATCTGATGAAAGAGTTGCTTTCATCTCACCATCTGATGAAAGAGGTACTTTTATCTCACCATCTGATGAAAGAATTACTTTCATATCACCATCTGATGAAAGAGGTACTTTCATCTCACCATCTGATGAAAGAGTTGCTTTCATCTCACCATCTGATGAAAGAGTTACTTTGATCTCACCATCTGATAAAAGAGGTACTTTCATCTCACCATCTGATGAAAGAGTTACTTTCATCTCACCATCTGATGAAAGAGTTGCTTTCATCTCACCATCTGATGAAAGAGTTACTTTCATCTCACCATTCGAAGAAAGAGTTGCTTTCATCTCACCATCTGATGAAAGAGTTGCTTTCATCTCACCATCTGATGAAAGAGGTACTTTCATCTCACCATCTGATAAAAGAGGTACTTTCATCTCACCATCTGATGAAAGAGTTGCTTTCATCTCACCATCTGATGAAAGAGTTGCTTTGATCTCACCATTTGATGAAAGAGGTACTTTCATCTCACCATCTGATGAAAGAGTTACTTTCATCTCACCATCTGATGAAAGAGTTGCTTTCATCTCACCATCTGATGAAAGAGTTACTTTCATCTCACCATCCGAAGAAAGAGTTGCTTTCATCTCACCATCTGATGAAAGAGTTGCTTTCATCTCACCATCTGATTAAAGAGTTGCTTTCATCTCACCATCTGATGAAAGAGTTACTTTCATCTCACCATCTGAAGAAAGAGTTGCTTTCATCTCACCATCTAATGAAAGAGTTGCTTTCATCTCACCATCTGATGAAAGAGGTATTTTCATCTCACCATCTGATGAAAGAGGTACTTTCATCTCAGCATCTGATGAAAGAATTACTTTCATCTCACCATCTGATGAAAGAGGTACTTTCATCTCACCATCTGATGAAAGAGTTGCTTTCATCTCACCATCTGATGAAAGAGTTACTTTGATCTCACCATCTGATAAAAGAGGTACTTTCATCTCACCATCTGATGAAAGAGTTGCTTTCATCTCACCATCTGATGAAAGAGTTGCTTTCATCTCACCATCTTATGAAAGAGGTACTTTCATCTCACCATCTGATGAAAGAGGTACTTTCATCTCACCATCTGATGAAAGAATTACTTTCATCTCACCATCTGATGAAAGAGGTACTTTCATCTCACCATCTGATGAAAGAGTTGCTTTCATCTCACCATCTGATGAAAGAGTTACTTTCATCTCACCATCTTATGAAAGAGGTACTTTCATCTCACCATCTGATGAAAGAGTTACTTTCATCTCACCATCTGATGAAAGAGTTACTTTCATCTCACCATCTGATGAAAGAGGTACTTTCATCTCACCATCTGATGAAAGAGTTGCTTTCATCTCACCATCTGATGAAAGAGGTACTTTCATCTCACCATCTGATGAAAGAATTACTTTCATATCACCATCTGATGAAAGAGGTACTTTCATCTCACCATCTGATGAAAGAGTTGCTTTCATCTCACCATCTTATGAAAGAGTTACTTTGATCTCACCATCTGATGAAAGAGGTACTTTCATCTCACCATCTGATGAAAGAGTTACTTTCATCTCACCATCTGATGAAAGAGTTACTTTCATCTCACCATCTGATGAAAGAGGTACTTTCATCTCACCATCTGATGAAAGAGTTGCTTTCATCTCACCATCTGATGAAAGAGGTACTTTCATCTCACCATCTGATGAAAGAATTACTTTCATATCACCATCTGATGAAAGAGGTACTTTCATCTCACCATCTGATGAAAGAGTTGCTTTCATCTCACCATCTGATGAAAGAGTTACTTTGATCTCACCATCTGATAAAAGAGGAACTTTCATCTCACCATCTGATGAAAGAGTTACTTTGATCTCACCATCTGATAAAAGAGGTACTTTCATCTCACCATCTGATGAAAGAGTTACTTTCATCTCACCATCTGATGAAAGAGTTGCTTTCATCTCACCATCTGATGAAAGAGTTACTTTCATCTCACCATTCGAAGAAAGAGTTGCTTTCATCTCACCATCTGATGAAAGAGTTGCTTTCATCTCACCATCTGATGAAAGAGGTACTTTCATCTCACCATCTGATGAAAGAGGTACTTTCATCTCACCATCTGATGAAAGAGTTGCTTTCATCTCACCATCTGATGAAAGAGTTGCTTTCATCTCACCATCTTATGAAAGAGGTACTTTCATCTCACCATCTGATGAAAGAGGTACTTTCATCTCACCATCTGATGAAAGAATTACTTTCATCTCACCATCTAATGAAAGAGGTACTTTCATCTCACCATCTGATGAAAGATTTGCTTTCATCTCACCATCTGATGAAAGAGTTACTTTCATCTCACCATCTTATGAAAGAGGTACTTTCATCTCACCATCTGATGAAAGAGTTACTTTCATCTCACCATCTGATGAAAGAGTTACTTTCATCTCACCATCTGATGAAAGAGGTACTTTCATCTCACCATCTGATGAAAGAGTTGCTTTCATCTCACCATCTGATGAAAGAGGTACTTTCATCTCACCATCTGATGAAAGAATTTCTTTTATATCACCATCTGATGAAAGAGGTACTTTCATCTCACCATCTGATGAAAGAATTACTTTCATATCACCATCTGATGAAAGAGGTACTTTCATCTCACCATCTGATGAAAGAGTTGCTTTCATCTCACCATCTGATGAAAGAGTTACTTTGATCTCACCATCTGATGAAAGAGGTACTTTCATCTCACCATCTGATAAAAGAGTTACTTTCATCTCACCATCTGATGAAAGAGTTGCTTTCATCTCACCATCTGATGAAAGAGGTACTTTGATCTCACCATCTGATGAAAGAGGTACTTTCATCTCACCATCTGATGAAAGAGTTGCTTTCATCTCACCATCTGATGAAAGAGTTACTTTGATCTCACCATCTGATGAAAGAGGTACTTTCATCTCACCATCTGATAAAAGAGTTACTTTCATCTCACCATCTGATGAAAGAGTTGCTTTCATCTCACCATCTGATGAAAGAGGTACTTTCATCTCACCATCTGATAAAAGAGTTACTTTCATCTCACCATCTGATGAAAGAGTTGCTTTCATCTCACCATCTGATGAAAGAGGTACTTTGATCTCACCATCTGATGAAAGAGGTACTTTCATCTCACCATCTGATGAAAGAGTTACTTTCATCTCACCATCTGATGAAAGAGGTACTTTCATCTCACCATCTGATGAAAGAGTTGCTTTCATCTCACCATCTTATGAAAGAGGTACTTTCATCTCACCATCTGATGAAAGAGGTACTTTCATCTCACCATCTGATGAAAGAATTACTTTCATCTCACCATCTAATGAAAGAGGTACTTTCATCTCACCATCTGATGAAAGATTTGCTTTCATCTCACCATCTGATGAAAGAGTTACTTTCATCTCACCATCTTATGAAAGAGGTACTTTCATCTCACCATCTGATGAAAGAGTTACTTTCATCTCACCATCTGATGAAAGAGTTACTTTCATCTCACCATCTGATGAAAGAGGTACTTTCATCTCACCATCTGATGAAAGAGTTGCTTTCATCTCACCATCTGATGAAAGAGGTACTTTCATCTCACCATCTGATGAAAGAATTACTTTTATATCACCATCTGATGAAAGAGGTACTTTCATCTCACCATCTGATGAAAGAATTACTTTCATATCACCATCTGATGAAAGAGGTACTTTCATCTCACCATCTGATGAAAGAGTTGCTTTCATCTCACCATCTGATGAAAGAGTTACTTTGATCTCACCATCTGATGAAAGAGGTACTTTCATCTCACCATCTGATAAAAGAGTTACTTTCATCTCACCATCTGATGAAAGAGTTGCTTTCATCTCACCATCTGATGAAAGAGGTACTTTGATCTCACCATCTGATGAAAGAGGTACTTTCATCTCACCATGTGATGAAAGAGTTGCTTTCATCTCACCATCTGATGAAAGAGTTACTTTGATCTCACCATCTGATGAAAGAGGTACTTTCATCTCACCATCTGATAAAAGAGTTACTTTCATCTCACCATCTGATGAAAGAGTTGCTTTCATCTCACCATCTGATGAAAGAGGTACTTTCATCTCACCATCTGATAAAAGAGTTACTTTCATCTCACCATCTGATGAAAGAGTTGCTTTCATCTCACCATCTGATGAAAGAGGTACTTTGATCTCACCATCTGATGAAAGAGGTACTTTCATCTCACCATCTGATGAAAGAGTTACTTTCATCTCACCATCTGATGAAAGAGGTACTTTCATCTCACCATCTGATGAAAGAATTACTTTCATCTCACCATCTGATGAAAGAGGTACTTTCATCTCACCATCTGATGAAAGAGTTGCTTTCATCTCACCATCTGATGAAAGAGTTACTTTCATCTCACCATCTTATGAAAGAGGTACTTTCATCTCACCATCTGATGAAAGAGTTACTTTCATCTCACCATCTGATGAAAGAGTTACTTTCATCTCACCATCTGATGAAAGAGGTACTTTCATCTCACCATCTGATGAAAGAGTTGCTTTCATCTCACCATCTGATGAAAGAGGTACTTTCATCTCACCATCTGATGAAGGAATTACTTTCATATCACCATCTGATGAAAGAGGTACTTTCATCTCACCATCTGATGAAAGAGTTGCTTTCATCTCACCATCTTATGAAAGAGTTACTTTGATCTCACCATCTGATGAAAGAGGTACTTTCATCTCACCATCTGATGAAAGAGTTACTTTCATCTCACCATCTGATGAAAGAGTTTCTTTCATCTCACCATCTGATGAAAGAGTTACTTTCATCTCACCATTTGAAGAAAGAGTTGCTTTCATCTCACCATCTGATGAAAGAGTTGCTTTCATCTCACCATCTGATGAAAGAGGTACTTTCATCTCACCATCTGATGAAAGAGGAACTTTCATCTCACCATCTGATGAAAGAATTACTTTCATCTCACCATCTGATGAAAGAGGTACTTTCATCTCACCATCTGATGAAAGAGTTGCTTTCATCTCACCATCTGATGAAAGAGTTACTTTGATCTCACCATCTGATAAAAGAGGTACTTTCATCTCACCATCTGATGAAAGAGTTGCTTTCATCTCACCATCTGATGAAAGAGTTACTTTCATCTCACCATCTGATGAAAGAGTTGCTTTCATCTCACCATTTGATGAAAGAGGTATTTTCATCTCACCATCTGATGAAAGAGTTACTTTCATCTCACCATCTGATGAAAGAGGTACTTTCATCTCACCATTTGATGAAAGAGGTACTTTCATCTCACCATCTGATGAAAGAGGTACTTTCATCTCACCATCTGATGAAAGAGTTACTTTCATCTCACCATCTGAAGAAAGAGTTGCTTTCATCTCACCATCTGATGAAAGAGTTGCTTTCATCTCACCATCTGATGAAAGAGGTACTTTCATCTCACCATCTGATGAAAGAATTACTTTCATATCACGATCTGATGAAAGAGGTACTTTCATCTCACCATCTGATGAAAGAATTTCTTTCATATCACCATCTGATGAAAGAGGTACTTTCATCACACCATCTGATGAAAGAGTTGCTTTCATCTCACCATCTGATGAAAGAGTTACTTTGATCTCACCATTTGATGAAAGAGGTACTTTCATCTCACCATCTGATGAAAGAGTTACTTTCATCTCACCATCTGATGAAAGAGTTGCTTTCATCTCACCATCTGATGAAAGAGTTACTTTCATCTCACCATCTGAAGAAAGAGTTGCTTTTATCTCACCATCTGATGAAAGAGTTGCTTTCATCTCACCATCTGATGAAAGAGTTGCTTTCATCTCACCATCTGATGAAAGAGTTACTTTCATCTCACCATCTGAAGAAAGAGTTGCTTTCATCTCACCATCTAATGAAAGAGTTGCTTTCATCTCACCATCTGATGAAAGAGGTATTTTCATCTCACCATCTGATGAAAGAGGTACTTTCATCTCAGCATCTGATGAAAGAATTACTTTCATCTCACCATCTGATGAAAGAGGTACTTTCATCTCACCATCTGATGAAAGAGTTGCTTTCATCTCACCATCTGATGAAAGAGTTACTTTGATCTCACCATCTGATAAAAGAGGTACTTTCATCTCACCATCTGATGAAAGAGTTGCTTTCATCTCACCATCTGATGAAAGAGTTGCTTTCATCTCACCATCTTATGAAAGAGGTACTTTCATCTCACCATCTGATGAAAGAGGTACTTTCATCTCACCATCTGATGAAAGAATTACTTTCATCTCACCATCTGATGAAAGAGGTACTTTCATCTCACCATCTGATGAAAGAGTTGCTTTCATCTCACCATCTGATGAAAGAGTTACTTTCATCTCACCATCTTATGAAAGAGGTACTTTCATCTCACCATCTGATGAAAGAGTTACTTTCATCTCACCATCTGATGAAAGAGTTACTTTCATCTCACCATCTGATGAAAGAGGTACTTTCATCTCACCATCTGATGAAAGAGTTGCTTTCATCTCACCATCTGATGAAAGAGGTACTTTCATCTCACCATCTGATGAAAGAATTACTTTCATATCACCATCTGATGAAAGAGGTACTTTCATCTCACCATCTGATGAAAGAGTTGCTTTCATCTCACCATCTGATGAAAGAGTTACTTTGATCTCACCATCTGATAAAAGAGGTACTTTCATCTCACCATCTGATGAAAGAGTTACTTTCATCTCACCATCTGATGAAAGAGTTGCTTTCATCTCACCATCTGATGAAAGAGTTACTTTCATCTCACCATTCGAAGAAAGAGTTGCTTTCATCTCACCATCTGATGAAAGAGTTGCTTTCATCTCACCATCTGATGAAAGAGGTACTTTCATCTCACCATCTGATAAAAGAGGTACTTTCATCTCACCATCTGATGAAAGAGTTGCTTTCATCTCACCATCTGATGAAAGAGTTGCTTTGATCTCACCATTTGATGAAAGAGGTACTTTCATCTCACCATCTGATGAAAGAGTTACTTTCATCTCACCATCTGATGAAAGAGTTGCTTTCATCTCACCATCTGATGAAAGAGTTACTTTCATCTCACCATCCGAAGAAAGAGTTGCTTTCATCTCACCATCTGATGAAAGAGTTGCTTTCATCTCACCATCTGATTAAAGAGTTGCTTTCATCTCACCATCTGATGAAAGAGTTACTTTCATCTCACCATCTGAAGAAAGAGTTGCTTTCATCTCACCATCTAATGAAAGAGTTGCTTTCATCTCACCATCTGATGAAAGAGGTATTTTCATCTCACCATCTGATGAAAGAGGTACTTTCATCTCAGCATCTGATGAAAGAATTACTTTCATCTCACCATCTGATGAAAGAGGTACTTTCATCTCACCATCTGATGAAAGAGTTGCTTTCATCTCACCATCTGATGAAAGAGTTACTTTGATCTCACCATCTGATAAAAGAGGTACTTTCATCTCACCATCTGATGAAAGAGTTGCTTTTATCTCACCATCTGATGAAAGAGTTGCTTTCATCTCACCATCTTATGAAAGAGGTACTTTCATCTCACCATCTGATGAAAGAGGTACTTTCATCTCACCATCTGATGAAAGAATTACTTTCATCTCACCATCTGATGAAAGAGGTACTTTCATCTCACCATCTGATGAAAGAGTTGCTTTCATCTCACCATCTGATGAAAGAGTTACTTTCATCTCACCATCTTATGAAAGAGGTACTTTCATCTCACCATCTGATGAAAGAGTTATTTTCATCTCACCATCTGATGAAAGAGTTACTTTCATCTCACCATCTGATGAAAGAGGTACTTTCATCTCACCATCTGATGAAAGAGTTGCTTTCATCTCACCATCTGATGAAAGAGGTACTTTCATCTCACCATCTGATGAAAGAATTACTTTCATATCACCATCTGATGAAAGAGGTACTTTCATCTCACCATCTGATGAAAGAGTTGCTTTCATCTCACCATCTTATGAAAGAGTTACTTTGATCTCACCATCTGATGAAAGAGGTACTTTCATCTCACCATCTGATGAAAGAGTTACTTTCATCTCACCATCTGATGAAAGAGTTACTTTCATCTCACCATCTGATGAAAGAGGTACTTTCATCTCACCATCTGATGAAAGAGTTGCTTTCATCTCACCATCTGATGAAAGAGGTACTTTCATCTCACCATCTGATGAAAGAATTACTTTCATATCACCATCTGATGAAAGAGGTACTTTCATCTCACCATCTGATGAAAGAGTTGCTTTCATCTCACCATCTGATGAAAGAGTTACTTTGATCTCACCATCTGATAAAAGAGGTACTTTCATCTCACCATCTGATGAAAGAGTTACTTTGATCTCACCATCTGATAAAAGAGGTACTTTCATCTCACCATCTGATGAAAGAGTTACTTTCATCTCACCATCTGATGAAAGAGTTGCTTTCATCTCACCATCTGATGAAAGAGTTACTTTCATCTCACCATTCGAAGAAAGAGTTGCTTTCATCTCACCATCTGATGAAAGAGTTGCTTTCATCTCACCATCTGATGAAAGAGGTACTTTCATCTCACCATCTGATGAAAGAGGTACTTTCATCTCACCATCTGATGAAAGAGTTGCTTTCATCTCACCATCTGATGAAAGAGTTGCTTTCATCTCACCATCTTATGAAAGAGGTACTTTCATCTCACCATCTGATGAAAGAGGTACTTTCATCTCACCATCTGATGAAAGAATTACTTTCATCTCACCATCTAATGAAAGAGGTACTTTCATCTCACCATCTGATGAAAGATTTGCTTTCATCTCACCATCTGATGAAAGAGTTACTTTCATCTCACCATCTTATGAAAGAGGTACTTTCATCTCACCATCTGATGAAAGAGTTACTTTCATCTCACCATCTGATGAAAGAGTTACTTTCATCTCACCATCTGATGAAAGAGGTACTTTCATCTCACCATCTGATGAAAGAGTTGCTTTCATCTCACCATCTGATGAAAGAGGTACTTTCATCTCACCATCTGATGAAAGAATTACTTTTATATCACCATCTGATGAAAGAGGTACTTTCATCTCACCATCTGATGAAAGAATTACTTTCATATCACCATCTGATGAAAGAGGTACTTTCATCTCACCATCTGATGAAAGAGTTGCTTTCATCTCACCATCTGATGAAAGAGTTACTTTGATCTCACCATCTGATGAAAGAGGTACTTTCATCTCACCATCTGATAAAAGAGTTACTTTCATCTCACCATCTGATGAAAGAGTTGCTTTCATCTCACCATCTGATGAAAGAGGTACTTTGATCTCACCATCTGATGAAAGAGGTACTTTCATCTCACCATCTGATGAAAGAGTTGCTTTCATCTCACCATCTGATGAAAGAGTTACTTTGATCTCACCATCTGATGAAAGAGGTACTTTCATCTCACCATCTGATAAAAGAGTTACTTTCATCTCACCATCTGATGAAAGAGTTGCTTTCATCTCACCATCTGATGAAAGAGGTACTTTCATCTCACCATCTGATAAAAGAGTTACTTTCATCTCACCATCTGATGAAAGAGTTGCTTTCATCTCACCATCTGATGAAAGAGGTACTTTGATCTCACCATCTGATGAAAGAGGTACTTTCATCTCACCATCTGATGAAAGAGTTGCTTTCATCTCACCATCTGATGAAAGAGTTACTTTGATCTCACCATCTGATTAAAGAGGTACTTTCATCTCACCATCTGATAAAAGAGTTACTTTCATCTCACCATCTGATGAAAGAGTTGCTTTCATCTCACCATCTGATGAAAGAGGTACTTTCATCTCACCATCTGATGAAAGAGTTGCTTTCATCTCACCATCTGATGAAAGAGTTACTTTGATCTCACCATCTGATGAAAGAGGTACTTTCATCTCACCATCTGATGAAAGAGTTGCTTTCATCTCACCATCTGATGAAAGAGTTACTTTCATCTCACCATCTGATGAAAGAGTTACTTTCATCTCACCATCTGATGAAAGAGGTACTTTCATCTCACCATCTGATGAATAACAACCTTCATCTCACCATCTGATGAAAGAGTTACTTTCATCTCACCATCTGATGAAAGAGTTACTTTCATCTCACCATCTGATGAAAGAGTTACTTTCATCTCACCATTTGATAAAAGAGGTACTTTCATCTCACTATCTGATGAAAGAATTACTTTCATCTCACCATCTGAGGAAAGAGGTACTTTCATCTCACCATCTGATGAAAGAGTTACTTTCATCTCACCATCTGATGAAAGAGGTACTTTCATCTCACCATCTGATGAAAGAGGTACTTTCATCTCACCATCTGATGAAAGAGTTATTTTCATCTCACCATCTGATGAAAGAGTTGCTTTCATCTCACCATCTGATGAAAGAGTTACTTTCATCTCACCATCCGAAGAAAGAGTTGCTTTCATCTCACCATCTGATGAAAGAGTTGCTTTCATCTCACCATCTGATGAAAGAGGTACTTTCATCTCACCATCTGATGAAAGAATTACTTTCATATCACCATCTGATGAAAGAGGTACTTTCATCTCACCATCTGATGAAAGAGTTGCTTTCATCTCACCATCTGATGAAAGAGTTACTTTGATCTCACCATCTGATGAAAGAGGTACTTTCATCTCACCATCTGATAAAAGAGTTACTTTCATCTCACCATCTGATGAAAGAGTTGCTTTCATCTCACCATCTGATGAAAGAGGTACTTTCATCTCACCATCTGAAGAAAGAGTTGCTTTCATCTCACCATCTGATGAAAGAGTTGCTTTCATCTCACCATCTGATCAAAGAGTTACTTTCATCTCACCATCTAATGAAAGAGGTACTTTCATCTCACCATCTGATGAAAGAATTACTTTCATCTCACCATCTGATGAAAGAGGTACTTTCATCTCACCATCTGATGAAAGAGTTGCTTTCATCTCACCATCTGATGAAAGAGTTACTTTGATCTCACCATCTGATGAAAGAGGTACTTTCATCTCACCATCTGATAAAAGAGTTACTTTCATCTCACCATCTGATGAAAGAGTTGCTTTCATCTCACCATCTGATGAAAGAGGTACTTTCATCTCACCATCTGAAGAAAGAGTTGCTTTCATCTCACCATCTGATGAAAGAGTTGCTTTCATCTCACCATCTGATCAAAGAGTTACTTTCATCTCACCATCTAATGAAAGAGGTACTTTCATCTCACCATCTGATGAAAGAATTACTTTCATCTCACCATCTGATGAAAGAGGTACTTTCATCTCACCATCTGATGAAAGAGTTGCTTTCATCTCACCATCTGATGAAAGAGTTACTTCGATCTCACCATCTGATAAAAGAGGTACTTTCATCTCACCATCTGATGAAAGAGTTGCTTTCATCTCACCATCTGATGAAAGAGTTACTTTCATCTCACCATCTGATGAAAGAGTTACTTTGATCTCACCATCTGATAAAAGAGGTACTTTCATCTCACCATCCGATGAAAGAGTTGCTTTCATCTCACCATCTGATGAAAGAGTTACTTTCATCTCACCATCTGATGAAAGAGTTACTTTCATCTCACCATCTGATGAAAGAGGTACTTTCATCTCACCATCTGATGAATAACAACCTTCATCTCACCATCTGATGAAAGAGTTACTTTCATCTCACCATCTGATGAAAGAGTTACTTTCATCTCACCATCTGATGAAAGAGTTACTTTCATCTCACCATCTGATAAAAGAGGTACTTTCATCTCACTATCTGATAAAAGAATTACTTTCATCTCACCATCTGAGGAAAGAGGTACTTTCATCTCACCATCTGATGAAAGAGTTACTTTCATCTCACCATCTGATGAAAGAGGTACTTTCATCTCACCATCTTATGAAAGAGTTACTTTCATCTCACCATCTGATGAAAGAGTTACTTTCATCTCACCATCTGATGAAAGAGTTGCTTTCATCTCACCATCTGATGAAAGAGTTACTTTCATCTCACCATCCGAAGAAAGAGTTGCTTTCATCTCACCATCTGATGAAAGAGTTGCTTTCATCTCACCATCTGATGAAAGAGGTACTTTCATCTCACCATCTGATGAAAGAATTACTTTCATATCACCATCTGATGAAAGAGGTACTTTCATCTCACCATCTGATGAAAGAGTTGCTTTCATCTCACCATCTGATGAAAGAGTTACTTTGATATCACCATCTGATGAAAGAGGTACTTTCATCTCACCATCTGATGAAAGAGTTACTTTCATCTCACCATCTGAAGAAAGAGTTGCTTTCATCTCACCATCTGATGAAAGAGTTGCTTTCATCTCACCATCTGATGAAAGAGTTACTTTCATCTCACCATCTGATGAAAGAGGTACTTTCATCTTACCATCTAATGAAAGAATTACTTTCATCTCACCATCTGATGAAAGAGGTACTTTCATCTCACTATCTGATGAAAAAGTTGCTTTCATCTCACCATCTGATGAAAGAGTTACTTTGATCTCACCATCTGATAAAAGAGGTACTTTCATCTCACCATCTGATGAAAGAGTTGCTTTCATCTCACCATCTGATCAAAGAGTTACTTTCATCTCACCATCTGATGAAAGAGTTGCTTTCATCTCACCATTTGATGAAAGAGGTATTTTCATCTCACCATCTGATGAAAGAGTTACTTTCATCTCACCATCTGATGAAAGAGGTACTTTCATCTCACCATTTGATGAAAGAGTTACTTTCATCTCACCATCTGATGAAAGAGGTACTTTTATCTCAGCATCTGATGAAAGAGGTACTTCATCTCACCATCTGATCAATGAGATACTTTCATCTCACCATCTGATGAAAAAGTTACTTTCATCTCACCATCTGATGAAAGAGTTACTTTCATATCACCATCTGATGAAAGAGTTACTTTCATCTCACCATTTGATGAAAGAGTTACTTTCATCTCACCATCTGATGAAAGAGTTACTTTCATCTCACCATCTGATAAAAGAGGTACTTTCATCTCACTATCTGATGAAAGAATTACTTTCATCTCACCATCTGATGAAAGAGGTACTTTCATCTCACCATCTGATGAAAGAGTTACTTTCATCTCAACATCTGATGAAAGAGGTACTTTCATCTCACCATCTGATGAAAGAGGTACTTTCATCTCACCATCTGATGAAAGAGGTACTTTCATCTCACCATCTGATGAAAGAGTTGCTTTCATCTCACCATCTGATGAAAGAGCTACTTTGATCTCACCATCTGATGAAAGAGGTACTTTCATCTCACCATCTGATGAAAGAATTACTTTCATCTCAACATCTGATGAAAGAGGTACTTTCATCTCACTATCTGATGAAAGAATTACTTTCATCTCACCATCTGATGAAAGAGGTACTTTCATCTCACCATCTGATGAAAGAGTTACTTTCATCTCAACATCTGATGAAAGAGGTACTTTCATCTCACCATCTGATGAAAGAGGCACTTTCATCTCACCATCTGATGAAAGAGTTACTTTCATCTCACCATCTGATGAAAGAGTTGCTTTCATCTTACCATCTGATGAAAAGTTACTTTCATCTCACCATCTGAAGAAAGAGTTGCTTTCATCTCACCATCTGATGAAAGAGTTGCTTTCATCTCACCATCTGATGAAAGAGGTACTTTAATCTCACAATCTGATGAAAGAGGTACTTTCATCTCACCATCTGATGAAAGAATTACTTTCATCTCACCATCTGATGAAAGAGGTACTTTCATCTCACCATCTGATGAAAGAGTTGCTTTCATCTCACCATCTGATGAAAGAGTTACTTTGATCTCACTATCTGAAAAAAGAGGTACTTTCATCTCACCATCTGATGAAAGAGTTGCTTTCATCTCACCATCTGATGAAAGAGTTACTTTCATCTCACCATCTGAAGAAAGAGTTACTTTCATCTCACCATCTGATGAAAGAGTTACTTTCATCTCACCATCTGATGAAAAAGTTACTTTCATCTCACCATCTGATGAAAGAATTACTTTCATCTCACCATCTGATGAAAGAGGTACTTTCATCTCACCATCTGATGAAAGAGTTGCTTTCATCTCAACATCTGATGAAAGAGTTACTTTGATCTCACCATCTGATAAAAGAGGTACTTTCATCTCACCATCTGATGAAAGAGTTGCTTTCATCTCACCATCTGATGAAAGAGTTACTTTCATCTCACCATCTGAAGAAAGAGTTGCTTTCATCTCACCATCTGATGAAAGAGTTGCTTTCATCTCACCATCTGATGAAAGAGTTACTTTCATCTCAGCATCTGATGAAAGAGGTACTTTCATCTCACCATCTGATGAAAGAGTTACTTTCCTCTCACCATCTGATGAAAAAGTTACTTTCATCTCACCATCTGATGAAAGAGTTACTTTCATCTCACCATCTGATGAATAATAACTTCCATCTCACCATCTGATGAAAGAGTTACTTTCATCTCACCATCTGATGAAAGAGTTCATTTCATCTCACCATCTGATGAAAGAGTTACTTTCATCTCACCATCTGATGAATAATAACTTCTATCTCACCATCTGATGAAAGAGTTACTTTCATCTCACCATCTGATGAAAGAGTTACTTTCATCTCACCAGCCACGTGATGAAAGAGTTACTTTGAGATGTCTGGAAATAACACGTTTATTACCAATCACCAGGTTTCAACCACCAGTCTCATCATCCCATCCCACAGTCGATGCAGTTGAGCAGAATCTCTCTCGCTTTCCATCACCCCGCCCCATTCCCCCGTTTTCCATCACCCCGCCCCATTCTCCCGCTTTCCATCACCCCGCCCTATTCTCCCGCTTTCCATCACCCCGCCCCATTCTTCCTCTTTCCATCACCCCGTCCCATTCTCCCGCTTTCCATCACCCCGCCCCATTCTCTCGCTTTCCATCACCCCGCCCCATTCTCTCGCTTTCCATCACTCTGCCCCATTCTACCTCTTTCCATCACCCCGCCCCATTCTCCCTCTTTCCATCACCCCGCCTCATTCTCCCTCTTTCCATCACCTCGCCCCATTCTCCCTCTTTCCATCACCCCGCCCCATTCTCCCGCTTTCCATCACCCCGCCCCATTCTCCCGCATTCCATCTCCCCGCCCCATTCTCCCTCTTTCCATCACCCCGCCCCATTCTCCCGCTTTCTATCACCCCGCCCCATTTTCCTGCTTTCCATCACCCCTTTCCATTCTCCCACTTTCCATCACCCCGCCCCATTCTCCCGCTTTCCATCATCCCGCCCCATTCTCCCTCTTTCCATCACCCCGCCCCATTCTCCCGCTTTCCATCACCCCGCCCCATTCTTCCGCTTTCCATCATCCCACCCCATTCTCCCGCTTTCCATCACCCCGCCCCATTCTCCCGCTTTGCATCACCCCGCCCCATTCTCCCGCTTTCCATCACCCCGCCCCATTCTCCCGCATTCCATCACCCCTCCCCATTCTCCCTCTTTCCATCACCCCGCCCCATTCTCCTGCTTTCCATCACCCCGCCCCATTCTCCTGCTTTCCATCACCCCGCCCCATTCTCCTGCTTTCCATCACCCCGCCCCATTCTCCCGCTTTCCATCACCCCGCCCCATTCTCCCTCTTTCCATCACCCCGCCCCATTCTCCCGCTTTCCATCTCCCCACCCCATTCTCCTGCTTTCCATCACCCCGTCCCATTCTCCCGCCTCTTTCCATCACCCCGCCCCATTCTCCCGCTTTCCATCACCGCGCCCCATTCTCCCGCTTTCCATCACCCCGCCCCCATTCTCCCGCTTCCCATCACCCCGCCCCGTTCTCCCGCTTTCCATCACCCAGCCCGATTCTCCCACTTTTAATCACCCCGCCCCATTCTCCTGCTTTCCATCACCCCGCCCCATTCTCCCTCTTTCCATCACCCCGCCCCATTCTCCCTCTTTCCATCACCCCGCCCCATTCTCCCGCTTTCCATCACCCTGCCCCATTCTCCCGCTTTCCATCACCCCGCCCCATTCTCCCGCTTTCCATCACCCCGCCCCATTCTCCCGGTTTCCATCACCCCGCCCCATTCTCCCGGTTTCCATCACCCTGCCCCATTCTCTCGCTTTCCATCACTCTGCCCCATTCTACCTCTTTCTATCACCCCGCCCCATTCTCCCTCTTTCCATCACCCCACCCCATTCTCCCGATTTCCATCACCCCGCCCCATTCTCTCGCCTCTTTCCATCACCCCGCCCCATTCTCCCGCTTTCCATCACCCCGCCCCATTCTCCCGCTTTCCATCACCCCGCCCCATTCTCCACCTTTCCATCACCCCGCCCCATTCTCCCTCTTTCCATCACCCTTCCCCATTCTCCCTCTATCCATCACCCCACCCAATTCTCCCGCTTTCCATCACCCCGTCCCATTCTCCCGCTTTCCATCACCCGGCCCCATTCTTTTGCGTTCAATCACCCCACCCCATCCTCCCCTCTTTCCATCACCCCGCCCCATTCTCCCGCTTTCCATCACCCCTCCCCATTCTCCCTCTTTCCATCACCCCGCCCCATTCTCCTGCTTTCCATCACCCCGCCCCATTCTCCCGCTTTCCATCACCCCGCCCCATTCTCCCTCTTTCCATCACCCCGCCCCATTCTCCCGCTTTCCATCACCGCGCCCCATTCTCCCGCTTTCCATCACCCCGCCCCCATTCTCCCGCTTCCCATCACCCCGCCCCGTTCTCCCGCTTTCCATCACCCCGCCCCATTCTCCCGCTTTCCATCACCCCGCCCCATTCTCCTGCTTTCCATCACCCCGCCCCATTCTCCCTCTTTCCATCACCCCGCCCCATTCTCCCTCTTTCCAACACCCCGACCCCATTCTCCCGCTTTCCATCACGCCGCCCCATTCTCCCGCTTTCCATCACCCCGCCCCATTCTCCCGGTTTCCATCACCCCGCCCCATTCTCCAGGTTTCCATCACCCTGCCCCATTCTCTCACTTTCCATCACTCTGCCCCATTCTACCTCTTTCTATCACCCCGCCCCATTCTCCCTCTTTCCATCACCCCGCCCCATTCTCCCGATTTCCATCACCCCGCCCCATTCTCTCGCCTCTTTCCATCAACCCGCCCCATTCTCCCGCTTTCCATCACTCCGCCCTATTCTCCCGCTTTCCATCACCCCGCCCCATTCTCCCGCTTTCCATCATCCCGCCCCATTCTCCAACTTTCCATCACCCCGCCCCAATCTCCCGCTTTCCATCACCCTGCCCCAATCTTCCGCTTTCCATCACCCCGCCCCATTCTCCCTCCTTCCATCACCCCGCCCCATTCTCCCGCTTTCCATCACCCCGCCCCATTCTCCCGCTTTCCATCACCCCGCCCCATTCTCCCGCTTTCCATCACCCCGCCCCATTCTCCCGCTTTCCATCACCCCGCCCCATTCTCCCTCCTTCCATCACCCCGCCCCATTCTCCCGCTTTCCATCATCCCGCCCCATTCTCCCTCCTTCTATCACCCCGCCCCATTCTCCCTCCTTCCATCACCCCGCCCCATTCTCCCGCTTTCCATCACCCCGCCCCATTCTCCCGCTTTCCATCACCCCGCCCCATTCTCCCTTCTTCCATCACCCCGCCCCATTCTCCCGCTTTCCATCATCCCGCTCCATTCTCCCTCCTTCCATCAACCCGCCCCATTCTCCCTCCTTCCATCACCCCGCCCCATTCTCCCGCTTTCCATCACCCCGCCACATTCTCCGTCTTTCCATCACCCCGTCCCATTCTCCTTCCTTCCATCACCCCGCCCCATTCTCCCTCCTTCCATCACCCCGCCCCATTCTCCCGCTTTCTATCAGCCCGCCCCATTCTCCCACTTTCCATCACCCCGCCCCATTCTCCCGCTTTCCATCACCCCGCCCCATTCTCCCGCTTTCCATCACCCCGCCCCATTCTCCCGCTTTCCATCACCCCGCCCCCTTCTCCCTCCTTCCATCACCCCGCCCCATTCTCCCTCCTTCCGTCACCCCGCCCCATTCTCCCGCTTTCCATCACCCCGCCCCATTCTCCCGCTTTCTATCACCCCGCCCCCTTCTCTCTCCTTCCATCACCCCGCCCCATTCTCCCGCTTTCCATCACCCCGCCCCATTTTCCCGCGTTCCATCACCCTGCCCCAATCTCCCGCTTTCCATCCCCCTGCCCCAATCTTCCGCTTTCCATCACCCCGCCCCATTCTCCCTGCTTCCATCACCCCGCCCCATTCTCCCGCTTTCCATCACCCCGCCCCATTCTCCCGCTTTCCATCACCCCGCCCCATTCTCCCGCTTTCCATCACCCCGCCCCATTCTCCCGCTTTCCATCACCCCGCCCCATTCTCCCTCCTTTCATCACCCCGCCCCATTCTCCCGCTTTCCATCACCCCGCCCCATTCTCCCGCTTCCCATAACCCTACCCCATTCTCCCGCTTTCCATCACCCCGCCACATTCTCCGGCTTTCCATCACCCCGTCCCATTCTCCTTCCTTCCATCACCCCGCCTCATTCTCCCTCCTTCCATCACCCCGACCCATTCTCCCGCTTTCCATCACCCCGCCCCATTCTCCCGCTTTCCATCACCCCGCCCCATTTTCCCGCTTTCCATCACCCCGCCCCATTCTCCCGCTTTCCATCACCCCGCCGCATTCTCCCGCTTTCCATCACCCCGCCCCATTCTCCCGCTTTCCATCACCCCGCCCCCTTCTCCCTCCTTCCATCACCCCGCCCCATTCTCCCTCCTTCCATCACCCCGCCCCATTCTCCCGCTTTCCATCAGCCCGCCCCATTCTCCCGCTTTCCATCACCCCTCCCCTTTCTCCCGCTTTCCATCTCCCCGCCCCATTCTCCCGCTTTCCATCACCCCGCCCCATTCTCCCGCTTTCCATCACCCGGCCCCATTCTTCCGCTTCCCATCATCCCGCCCCATTCCCCCGCTTTCCATCACCCCTCCCCATTCTCCCTCCTTCCATCACCCTGCCCCATTCTCTCGCTTTCCATCACCCCGCCCCATTCTCCCGCTTTCCATCACGCCGCCCCATTCTCCCGCTTTCCATCACCCCGCCCCATTCTCCCTCCTTCCATCACCCCGCCCCATTCTCCCGCTTTCCATCACCCCGCCCCATTCTCCTTTCTTCCATCACCCCGCCCCATTCTCCCTCATTCCATTACCCCGCCCCATTTTTCCGCTTTCCACCACCCTGCCCCATTCTCCCGCTTTCCATCACCCCGCTCCATTCTCCCGCTTTCCATCACCCCGCCCCATTCTCCCGCTTTCCATCACCCCGCCATATTCTTCCTCTTTCCATCACCCCGCCCCATTCTCCCGCTTTCCATCACCCCGCCCCATTCTCCTGCTTTCCATCACCCCGCCCCATTCTCCCGCTTTCCATCACCCCGCCCCATTCTCCCACTTTCCATCACCGCGCCTCATTCTCCCGCTTTCCATCACCCTGCCCCATTCTCCCTCTTTCCATCACCCCGCCCCATTCTCCCTCTTTCCATCACCCCACCCCATTCTCCCGCTTTCCATCACCCCGCCCCATTCTCCCACTTTCCATCACCCCGCCCCTTTCTCCCGCGTTCCATCACCCCGCCCCATTCTCCCGCTTTCCATCACTCCGCCCCATTCTCCCGCTGTCCATCACCCCGCCCCATTCTCCCGCTTTCCACCACCCTGCCCCATTCTCCCGCTTTCCATCACCCTGCCCCATTCTCCCGCTTTCTATCACCCCGCCCCATTCTCCCGCTTTCCATCACCCTGCCCCATTCTCCCGCTTTCCATCACCCCGCTCCATTCTCCCGCTTTCCATCACCCCGCCCCATTCTCCCGCTTTCCACCACCCTGCCCCAATCTCCCGCTTTCCATCACCCCGCTCCATTCTCCCGCTTTCCATCACCCCGGCCCATTCTCCTGCTTTCCATCACCTCGCCCCATTCTCCTGCTTTCCATCACCCCGGCCCATTCTCCCGCTTTCCATCACCCCGCCCCATTCTCCCGCTTTCCATCACCCCGTCCCATTCTCCCTCTTTTCATCACCCCGCCCCATTCTCCCTCTTTCCATCACCCCACCCCATTCTCCCGATTTCCATCAGCCCGGCCCATTCTCCCTATTTTCATCACCCTGCCCCATTCTCCCCCTTTCCATCACCCCGCCCCATTCTCCCGCTTTCCATCACCCCGCCCCATTCTCCCGCTTTCCATCAACCCGCCCCATTCTCCCTCTTTCCATCACCCCGCCCCATTCTCCCTCTTTCCATCACCCCGCCCCATTCTCCCTCTTTCCATCACCTCGCCCCGTTCTCCCTCTTTCCATAACCTCGCCCCATTCTCCCTATTTCCATCACCCCGCCACATTCTCCAGCTTTCCATCACCCCTCCCCACTCTCCCGCTTTCCATCACCCCGCCCCATTCTCCCACTTTCCATCACCCCGACCCATTCTCCAGCTTTCCATCACCCCTCCCCACTCTCCCGCTTTCCATCACCCCGACCCATTCTCCCTCTTTCCATCACCCCGCCCCATTCTCGCTCTTTCCATCACCTCGCCCTATTCTCCCGCTTTCCATCACCCCGCCCCGTTCTCCCACTTTCCATCGCCCCGCCCCTTTCTCCCGCGTTCCATCACCCCGCCCCATTCTCCCGCTTTCCATCACTCCGCCCCATTCTCCCGCTTTCCATCACCCCGCCCTATTCTCCCGCTTTCAACCACCCTGCCCCATTCTCCCGCTTTCCATCACCCTGCCCCATTCTCCCGCTTTCCATCACCCCGCCCCATTCTCCCGCTTTCCATCACCCCGCTCCAGTCTCCCGCTTTCCATCACCCCGCCCCATTCTCCCGCTTTCCACCACCCTGCCCCATTCTGCTGCTTTCCATCACCCCGCTCCATTCTCCCGCTTTCCATCACCCCGGCCCATTCTTCCGTTTTCCATCACCCCGCCCCATTCTCCTGCTTTCCATCACCCCGCCCCATTCTCCCGCTTTCCATCACCCCTCCCCATTCTCCCGCTTTCCATCACCCCGCCATATTCTTCCTCTTTCCATCACCCCGCCCCATTCTCCCACTTTCCATCACCCCGCCCCATTCTCCTGCTTTCCATCACCCCGCCCCATTCTCCCGCTTTCCATCACTCCGCCCCGTTCTCCCGCTTTCCATCACCGCGCCCCATTCTCCCGCTTTCCATCACCCTGCCCCATTCTCCTTCTTTCCATCACCCCGCCCCATTCTCCCGCTTTCCATCACCCCGCCCCATTCTCCCACTTTCCATCACCCCGCCCCTTTCTCCCGCGTTCCATCACCCCGCCCCATTCTCCCGCTTTCCATCACTCCGCCCCATTCTCCCGCTGTCCATCACCCCGCCCCATTCTCCCGCTTTCCACCACCCTGCCCCATTCTCCCGCTTTCCATCACCCTGCCCCATTCTCCCGCTTTCCATCACCCCGCCCCATTCTCCCGCTTTCCATCACCCCGCCCCATTCTCCCGCTTTCCATCACCCCGCTCCATTCTCCCGCTTTCCATCACCCCGCCCTATTCTCCCGCTTTCCACCACCCTGCCCCATTCTCCCGCTTTCCATCACCCCGCTCCATTCTCCCGCTTTCCATCACCCCAGCCCATTCTCCTGCTTTCCATCACCTCGCCCCATTCTCCTGCTTTCCATCACCCCGGCCCATTCTCCCGCTTTCCATCACCCCGTCCCATTCTCCCTCTTTTCATCACCCCGCCCCATTCTCCCTCTTTCCATCACCCCACCCCATTCTCCCGATTTCCATCAGCCAGGCCCATTCTCCCTATTTCCATCACCCTGCCCCATTCTCCCCCTTTCCATCACCCCGCCCCATTCTCCCGCTTTCCATCATCCCGCCCCATTCTCCCTCTTTCAATCACCCCGCCCCATTTTCCCTCTTTCCATCACCCCGCCCCATTCTCCCTCTTTCCATCACCCCGCCCCGTTCTCCCTCTTTCCATCACCTCGCCCCATTCTCCCTATTTCCATCACCCCGCCCCATTCTTCCGCTTTCCATCACCCCGCCACATTCTCTAGCTTTTCATCACCCCTCCCCATTCTCCCGCTTTCCATCACCCCGCCCCATTCTCCCACTTTCCATCACCCCGCCCCATTCTCCCGCTTTCCATCACCCCGCCCCATTCTCCCGCTTTCCATCAACCCGCCCCATTCTTCCGCTTTCCATCACCCTGCCCCATTATCCAGCTTTCCAACACCCGGCCCCATTCTCCCGCTTTCCATCACCCCGCCCCATTCTCCCTCTTTGCATCACCCCGCCCCATTCTCCCTCTTTCCATCACCCCGCCCCATTCTCCCTTTTTCCATCACCCCACCCCATTCTCCCTATTTCCATCACCCCGCCCCATTCTCCCGCTTTCCATCACCCCGCCCCATTCTCCCTCTTTCCATCACCCCACCCCATTCTCTCTCTTTCCATCACCCCGCCCCATTCTCCCTCTTTCCATCACCCCGCCCCATTCTTCCGCTTTCAATCACCCCGCCCCATTCTCCCTATTTCCATCACCCCGCCCCATTTTTCCGCTTTCCATCACCCCGCCCCATTCTCAGCTTTCCATCACCCCGCCCCATTCTCCCGCTTTCCATCACCCCGCCCCATTCTCTCGTTTTCCATCACCCCGCCCCATTCTCCCGCTTTCCATCACCCCGCCGCATTCTTCCGCTTTCCATCACCCCGCCCCATTCACCCTCTTTCCGTCACCCCGCCCCATTCTCCAGCTATCAATCACCCCGCCCTATTCTCCCGCTTTCCATCACCCCGCCCCATTCTCCCACTTTCCATCACCCCGCCCCAATCTCCTGCTTTCCATCACTCCGCCCTATTCTCCCTCTTTCCATCACCCGCCCCATTCTCCCGCTTTCTGTCACCCAGCCCCATTATCCCGCTTTCCATCACCCCGCCCCATTTTCCCGCTTTCCATCACCCCGCCCTATTCTCAAGCTTTCCATCACCTCGCCCCATGCTCCTGCTTTCCATCACCCCACCCCAGTCTCCCGCTTTCCATCACCCCGCCCCATTCTTCCGCTTTCCATTACCCCGCCCCGTTCTCCCGCTTTCCATCACCCCGCCCCATTCTCCCGCTTTCCATCACTTCGCCCCATTCTCCCGCTTTCCATCACCCCGCCCCTTTCTTCCTCTTTCCATCACCCCGCCCCATTCTCCCGCTTTCCATCACCTCGCCCCATTCTCCCTCTTTTGATCACCCCGCCCCATTCTCCCTCTTTCCATCACCCCGCCCCATTCTCTCCCTTTCCATCACCCCACCCCATTCCCCCTATTTCCATCACCCCGCCCCATTCTCCCGCTTTCCATCACCTGCCCCATTCTCCCTCTTTCCATCACCCCGCCCCATTCTCTCTCTTTCCATCACCTCGCCCCATTCTCCCTCTTTCCATCACCCTGCCCCATTCTTCCGCTTTCCATCACCCCGCCCAATTCTCCCTATTTCCATCACCCCGCCCCATTCTTCCGCTTTCCATCACCCCGCCCCATTTCCAGCTTTCCATCACCCCGCCCCATTCTCCCGCTTTTCATCACCCCGCCCCATTCTCCCGTTTTCCATCACCCCGCCCCATTCTCCCGCTTTCCATCACCCCGCCCCATTCTTCCGCTTTCCATCACCTCGCCCCATTCACCCCCTTTCCGTCACCCCGCCCCATTCTCCAGCTTTCCATCACATCGCCCCATTCTCCCGCTTTCCATCACCCCGCCCCATTCTCCCGCTTTCCATCACCCCGCACTATTCTCCCTCTTTCCATCACCCCGCCCCATTCTCCAGCTTTCCGTCACCCAGCCCCATTATCCCGCTTTCCATCACCCCACCCCATTTTCCCGCTTTCCATCACCCCGCCCCATTCTCCCGCTTTCCATCACCCCGCCCCATTCTCAAGCTTTCCATCACCTCGCCCCATGCTCCCGCTTTCCATCACCCCGCCCCATTCTCCCGCTTTCCATCACCCCGCCCCATTCTCCCGCTTTCCATCACCCTGCCCCATTCTCCTGCTTTCCATCACCCCGCCCCATTCTCCCGCTTTCCATCACTTTGCCCCATTCTCCCGCTTTCCATCACCCCGCCCCTTTCTTCCTCTTTCCATCACCCCGCCCCAATCTCCCGCTTTCCATCACCCCGCCCCATTCTCCCGCTTTCCATCACCCCGCCCCATTCTCCCGCTTTCCATCACCCCGCCCCATTCTCCCGCTTTCCATCACCCCGCCCCATTCTCCCTCTTTTCATCACCCGCCCCTTTCTCCCTCTTTCCATTACCCCACCCCATTCTCCCGCCTTCCATCATCCCACCCCATTCTCCCGCTTTCCATCACCCCGCCCCATTCTCCCTCTTTCCATCACCCCGCCCCATTCTCCCGCTTTCTATCACCCCGCCCCATTCTCCCTCTTTCTTTCACCCTGCCCCATTCTCCCGCTTTCCATCACCCCGCCCCATTCTCCCGCTTTCCATCACCCCGCCCCATTCTCCCTCTTTTCATCACCCGCCCCTTTCTCCCTCTTTCCATTACCCCACCCCATTCTCCCGCCTTCCATCACCCCACCCCATTCTCCCTCTTTCCATCACCCCACCCCATTCTCCCGCTTTCCATCACCCCGCCCAATTCCCCCTCTTTCCATCAGCCCGCCCCATTCTCCCGCTTTCTATCACCCCGCCCCATTCTCCCTATTTCGATCACCCCGCCCCATTCTCCCGCTTTCCATCACCCCGCCCCATTCTCCCACTTTCCATCACCCCTCCCCATTCTCCCTCTTTCCATCACCCCGCTCCATTCCCCCTCTTTCCATCAGCCCGCCCCATTCTCCCGCTTTCCACCACCCTGCCCCATTCTCCCGCTTTCCATCACCCTGCCCCATTCTCCCGCTTTCCATCACCGCGCTCCATTCTCCCGCTTTCCATCACCCCGCCCCATTCTCCTGCTTTCCATCACCCCGCCCCATTCTCCCGCTTTCCATCACCCCGCCCCATTCTCCTGCTTTCCATCACCCCGCCCCATTCTCCCGCTTTCCATCACCCCACCCCATTCTCCCGCTTTCCATAACCCTGCCCTATTCTCCAGCTTTCCATCACCCCGACCCATTCTCCCTCTTTTCATCACCCCGCCCCATTCTCCCTCTTTCCATCACCTCGCCCTATTCTCCCTCTTTCCATCACCGCGCCCCATTCTCCCGCTTTCCATCACCCCGCCCCATTCTCCCGCTCCATCACCCCGCCCCATTCTTCCGCTTTCCATCACCCCGGCCCATTCTCCCGCTTTCCATCGCCCCGCCCCATTCTTCCGCTTTCCATCACCCCGCCCCATTAACCCTCTTTCCATCACCCCGCCCCATTCTCCCTCTTTCCATCACCGTGCCCCATTCTTCCGCTTTTCATCACCCCGCCCTATTCTCCCTCTTTCCATCACCCCGCCCCATTCTCCCGCTTTTCATCACCCCGCCCCATTCTCCCTCCTTCCATCACCCCGCCCCATTCTCCCGCTTTCCATCACTCCGCCCCATTCTCCCTCCTTCCATCACCCCGCCCCATTCTCCCTCCTTCCATCACCCCGCCCCATTCTCCCGCTTTCCATCAGCCCGCCCCATTCTCCCGCTTTCCATCACCCCTCCCCTTTCTCCCGCTTTCCATCTCCCCGCCCCATTCTCCCGCTTTCCATCACCCCGCCCCATTCTCCCGCTTTCCATCACCCCGCCCCATTCTTCCACTTCCCATCATCCCGCCCCATTCCCCCGCTTTCGATCACCCCTCCCCATTCTCCCTCCTTCCATCACCCTGCACCATTCTCTCGCTTTCCATCACCCCGCCCCATTCTCCCGCTTTCCATCACGCCGCCCCATTCTCCCGCTTTCCATCACCCCGCCCCATTCTCCCTCCTTCCATCACCCCGCCCCATTCTCCCGCTTTCCATCACCCCGCCCCATTCTCCTTTCTTCCATCACCCCGCCCCATTCTCCCTCATTCCATTACCCCGCCCCATTCTCCCGCTTTCCATCACCCCGCCCCATTCTCCCGCTTCCCATAACCCCACCCCATTCTCCCGCTTTCCATCACCCCGCCACATTTTCCCACTTTCCATCACCCCGCCCCATTCTCCTTCCTTCCATCACCCCGCCCCATTCTCCCGCTTTCCATCAGCCCGCCCCATTCTCCCGGTTTCCATCACCCCGCTTCTTTCTCCCGCTTTCCATCTCCCCGCCCCATTCTCCCGCTTTCCATCACCCCGCCCCATTCTCCCGCTTTCCATCACCCCGCCCCATTCTTCTGCTTCCCATCATCCCGCCCTATTCCACCGCTTTCCATCACCCCTCCCCATTCTCCCTCCTTCCATCACCCCGCCCCATTCTTCCGCTTTCCATCACCCGCCCCATTCTCCCGCTTTCCATCACCTCGCCCCATTCTCCCGCTTTCCATCACCCCGCCCCATTCTTTTGCTTTCCATCACCCCGCCCCATTCTCCCGCTTTCCATCACCCTGCCGCATTCACCCGCTTTCCATTACCCGCCCCATTCTCCCGCTTTCCATCAGCCCGCCCCATTCTCCCGCTTTCCATCACCCGCTCCATTCTCCCGCTTTCCATCACCCCGCCCCATTCTCCCGCTTTCCATCACCCCGCCCCATTCTCCCGCTTTCCATCACTCCGACCCATACTCCCGCTTTCCATCACCCCGACCCATTCTCCCACTTTCCATCACCCCGCCCCATTCTCCCTCCTTCCATCACCCCGCCTCATTCTCCCTCCTTCCATCACCCCGCCCCTTTCTCCCGCTTTCCATCACCTCACCATATTCTCCCGCTTTCCATCACCCAGCCCCATTCTCCCGCTTTCCATCACCCCGCCCCATTTTCCCGCTTTCCATCACCCCGCCCCATTCTCACGCTTTCCATCACCCTGCCCCAATCTCCCGCTTTCCATCACCCCGCCCCATTCTCCCTCCTTCCATCACCCCGCCCCATTCTCCCGCTTTCCATCACCCCGCCCCATTCTCCTGCTTTCCATCACCCAGCCCCATTCTCCCGCTTTCCATCACCCCGCCCCATTCTCCCGCTTTCCATCACCCCACCCCATTCTCCCTCCTTACATCACCCCGCCCCATTCTCCCTCCTTCCATCACCCCGCCCCATTCTCCCGCTTTCCATCACCCCGCCCCATTCTCTCGCTTTCCATCACCCCGCCCAATTCTCCCTCTTTCCATCACCCCGCCCCGTTCTCCCGCTTTCCATCACCCCGCCCCGTTCTCCCGCTTTCCATCACCCAGCCCCATTCTCCCGCTTTCCATCACCCCGCCCAATTCTCCCGCCTTCCATCACCCCGCCCCATTCTCCCGCTTTCCATCACCCCGCCCCATTCTCCCTCCTTCCATCACCCTGCCCCATTCTCCCGCTTTCCATCACCCCGCCCCATTCTCCCTCCTTCCATCACCCCGCCCCATTCTCCCTCCTTCCATCACCCCGCCCCATTCTCCCGCTTTCCATCACCCCGCCCCATTCTCCCGCTTCCCATAACCCCACCCCCTTCTCCCGCTTTCCATCACACCGCCACATTCTCCCGCTTTCTATCACCCCGCCCCATTCTCCCTCCTTTCCATCACCCCGCCCCATTCTCCCGATTTCCATCACCCCGCCCCATTCTCCCGCTTTCCATCACCCCGCCCCATTCTCCCTCTTTCCATCAGCCTGCCCCATTCTCCCTCTTTCCATCACCCCGCCCCATTCTCCCGCTTTCCATCACCCCGCCCCATTCTCCCGCTTTCCATCACCCCGCCCCATTCTCCCTCTTTCCATCACCCTGCCCCATTCTCCCTCTATCCATCACCCCGCCCAATTCTCCCGCATTCCATCACCCCGCCCCATTCTCCCTCTATCCATCACCCCACCCAATTCTTCTCTTTCCATCACCCCGCCCCATTCTCCCGCTTTCCATCACCCCGCCAAATTCTCCCACTTTCCATCACCCCGCTCCATTCTCCCGCTTTCCATCACCCCGCCCAATTCTCCCTCTTCCCATTACCCCTCCCCATTCTCCCTCTTTCCATCACCCCGCCCCATTCTCCCGCTTTCCATCACCCCGCCCCATTCTCCCTATTTCCATCACCCCGCCCCATTCTCCCGCTTTCCATCACCCTGCCCCATTCTCCCTCTTTCCATCACCCCGCTCCATTCTCCTGCTTTCCATCACCCCGCCCCATTCTCCCGCTTTCCATCACCCCGCTCCATTCTCCCGCTTTCCATCACCCGCCCCATTCTCCCGCTTTCCATCACCCCGCCCCATTCTCCCTCTTTCCATCACCCCGCCCCATTCTCCCTCTATCCATCACCTCGCCCAATTCTCCCGCTTTCCATCACCGCGCCCCATTCTCCTTCTTTCCATCACCCCGCCCCATTCCCTCGCTTTCCATCACCCCGCCCCATTTTCCCGCTTTCCATCACCTTGTTCCATTCTCCCGCTTTCCATCACCCTGCCCAATTCTCCCTCTTTCCATCACCCCTCCCCATTCTCCCTCTTTCCATCACCCTGCCCCATTCTCCCGCTTTCCATCACCCCGCCCCATTCTCCCTCTTTCCATCAGCCCGCCCCATTCTCCCTCTTTCCATCACCCCGCCCCATTCTCCCGCTTTCCATCACCCCGCCCCATTCTCCCGCTTTCCATCACCCCACCCCATTCTCCCCATTTCCATCACCTTGCCACATTCTCCCGCTTTCCATCACCCCGCTCAATTCTCCTGCTTTCCATCACCCCGTCAGATTCTCCCGCTTTCCATCACCTCGCCCCATTCTTTTGCTTTCCGGCACTATGAACAGCACTATGGCAGCAACAAAGTCTTAGAACGCAACTTAGGAAGAGTTAGCAAGAGTTACGAGTTGGGAATGACTCCCAGCTCCTACAAACCCCAATAGCCGAGGTACAGTGATGTGGAACAGTGCCACACGAAGGGTCTCGAAACTACCCTTCACTAGGGTCTACACCAACTGAAATGTTACACTACACGTTGTTATGTAACAAATCTTGATATCTTGAGGTGTACCCTTTTCGCGGACTTCGTGAACACTTGAATGTTGACACCAGGGCTCGGGTTCTTCATCACAAACTCATCCTTGAGTTCTTGATGGGTCTGCTGCACACACCTGCGACACGCCGAACGTTCGACAGGCGACAAAATAGTAACCGCGCACGACAAAATAGAAACCGCGCGGGACACACAAAATGAATGCGTTACACGCGACTAGCGATAACTCGCTATTGACTTGACACACACACTCAATATCATGACCCATCATACACACACTATTATAAGCATGAAATATATATTATCCCATGCCCTCATACCATTCCATGCACACACGCATGCACGCACACGGACAACAAGCCGAGTGCAAACCGTAGGTTGCACCAACAATTCTCCTGCTTTCCATCACCCCGCTCCATTGTCCCGCTTTCCATCACCCCGCCCAATTCTCCCTCTTTCCATCACCCCTCCCCATTCTCCCTCTTTCCATCACCCCGCCCCATTCTCCCGCTTTCCATCACCCCGCCCCATTCTCTCGCTTTCCATCACCCCGCCCAATTCTCCCTCTTTCCATCACCCCTCCCCATTCTCCCTCTTTCCATCACCCCGCCCCATTCTCCCTCTTTCCATCACCCCGCCCCATTCTCCCGCCTTTCATCACGCCGCCCTATTCTCTCGCTTTCCACCACCCCGCCCAATTCTCCCGCTTTCCATCACCCCGCCCCATTCTCCCGCCTTCCATCACCCCACCCCATTCTCCCTCTTTCAATCACCTCGCCCCATTATCCCGATTTCCATCACCCCGCCCCATTCTCCCTCTATCTATCACCCCGCCCAATTCTCTCACTTTCCATCACCCCGTCCCATTCTCCCGTTTTCCATCACCCTGCCCCATTCTCTCGCTTTCCATCACCCCGCCTTATTCTCCCGCTTTCCATCACCCCGCCCCATTCTCCCGATTTCCATCACCCCGCCCCATTCTCCCGCTTTCGATGACCCCGCCCCATTCTCCCGCTTTCCATCACCCCGCCCCATTCTCCCGCTTTCCAACACCCCGCCTCATTCTCCCACTTTCCATCACCCCGCCCCATTCTCACTCTTTCCATCACCCCTCCCCATTCTCCCTCTTTCCATCACCCCGCCCCATTCTCTCGCCTTCCATCACCCCACCCCATTCTCCATCTTTCCATCACCCTACCCAACCATCACCCCACCCATTCTCCCTCTATCCATCACCCCGCCCAATTCTCCCACTTTCCACCACCCCGTCCCATTCTCCCGTTTACCATCACCCTGCCCCATTCTCTCGCTTTCCATCACCCCGCCTTTTTCTCCCGCTTTCCATCACCCCGCCCCATTGTCCCGATTTCCATCACCCCGCCCCATTCTCCCGCTTTCCATGACCCCGCCCCATTCTCCCGCTTTCCATCACCCCGCCCCATTCTCCCGCTTTCCAACACCCCGCCTCATTCTCCCACTTTCCATCACCCCGCCCCATTCTCACTCTTTCCATCACCCCTCCCCATTCTCCCTCTTTCCATCACCCCGCCCCATTCTCCTGCTTTCTATCACCCCGCCCCATTCTCCCTCTTTCCATCACCCCGCCCCATTCTCCCGCTTTCCATCACCCCGCCCCATTCTCCCGATTTCCATCACCCCGCCCCATTCTCCCTCTTTCCATCACCCCGCCCGATTCTCCCGCTTTCCATCACCTCGCCCCATTCTCCCGCTTTCCATCACCCCGCCCCATTCTCCTGCTTTCCATCACCCCGCCCCATTCTCCCGCTTTCCATCACCACGCCCCATTCTCCCGCTTTCCATCACCCCGCCCCATTCTCCCTCTTTCCATCACCCCGCCCCATTCTCCCACTTTCCATCACCCCGCCCCATTTTCCCTCTTTCCATCACCCCGCCCCATTTTCCCTCTTTCACTCACCCTCGCCCCATTCTCCCGCTTTCCATCACCCCGCCCCATTTTTCCTCTTTCCATCACCCCGCCCCATTTTCCCTCTTTCACTCACCCTCGCCCCATTCTCCTGCTCTCCATCACCCCGCCCCATTTTCCCTCTTTCCATCACCCCGCCCCATTCTCCCGCCTTCCATCACCCTGCCCCATTCTCCCTCTTTCCATCACCCCACCCCATTCTCCCGCTTTCCATCACCCCGCCCCATTCTCCCGCTTTCCATCACCCCGCCCCATTCTCCCACTTTCCATCACCCCGCCCCATTCTCCCTCTTTCCATCACCCCGCCCCATTCTCCCGCTTTCCATCACCGCGCCCCATTTTCCCTCTTTCCATCACCCCGCCCCATTCTCCCGCTTTCCATCACCCCGCCCCATTCTCCCTCTTCCCATCACCCCGCCCCATTCTCCCGCCTTTCATCACCCCGCCCCATTCTCCCGCTTTCCATCACCCCACCCAATTCTCCTGCTTCCCATCACCCCGCCCCATTCTCCCGCCTTCCATCACCCTGCCCCATTCTCCCTCTTTCCATCACCCCGCCCCATTCTCACGCTTTCCATCACCCCGCCCCATTCTCCCTCTTTCCATCACCCCGCCCCATTCTCCCGCTTTCCATCAACCCGCCCCATTCTCCCTCTATCCATCACCCCGCCCAATTCTCCCACTTTCCATCACCCCGTCCCATTCTCCCGTTTTCCATCACCCCGCCCCATTCTCTCGCTTTCCATCACCCCGCTTTATTCTCCCACTTTCCATCACCCCACCCCATTCTCCCGCTTTATTCTCCCAATTTCCATCACCCCGCCCGATTCTCCCGCTTTCCATCACCCCGCCCCATTCTCCGGCTTTCCAACAGCCCGCCCCATTCTCCCACTTTCCATCACCTCTCCCCATTCTCCCTCTTTCCATCACCCCGCCCCATTCTCCTGCTTTCTATCACTCCGCCCCATTCTCGCTCTTTCCATCACCCTGCCCCATTCTCCCGCCTTCCATCACCCCGCCCCATTCTCCATCTTTCCATCACCCTCCTCAATTCTCCCGCTTTCCATCACCCCGCCCCATTCTCCCGCCTTCCATCACCCCAGCCCATTCTCCATCTTTCCATCACCCCGCCCCATTCTCCCGCTTTCCATTACCCCGCCCCATTCTCCCGCTTTTCATCACCCCGCCCCATTCTCCCGCTTTCTATAACCCCACCCCATTCTCCCGCTTTCCATCACCCCGCCCCATTCTCCCGCTTTCCATCACCCCGCCCCATTCTCCCGCTTTCCATCACCCCGCCCCATTCTCCCGCTTTCCATCACCCCGCCCCATTCTCCCGCTTTCCATCACCCCGTCCCGTTCTCTCGCTTTCCATCACCCCGGCCCATTCTCCCGCTTTCTATCACCCCGCCCGCTCCATTCTCCCGCTTTCCATCACCCCGCCCAATTCTCCCTCTTTCCATCACCCCTCCCCATTCTCCCTCTTGCCATCACCCCGCCCCATTCTCCCTCTTTCCATCACCCTGTCCCATTCTCCCGCCTTTCATCACCCCGCCCCATTCTCCCGCCTTTCATCACCCCGCCCAATTCTCCCGCTTTCCATCACCCCTCCCAATTCTCCTGTTTCCATCACCCCGCCCCATTCTCCCGCTTTCCATCACCCCGCCCCATTCTCCCTCTTTCCATCACCCAGCCCCATTCTCTCGCTTTCCATCACCCCGCCCCGTTCTCCCTCTTTCCATCACCCCGCCCCATTCTCCCTCTTTCCATCACCCTGCCCCATTCTCCCACTTTCTATCACCCCGCGCCATTTTCCCTCTTTCCATCACCCCGCCCCATTCTCCCGCTTTCCATCACCCTGCCCCATTCTCTTGCTTTTTATCATCCCGCTCCATTGTCCCGCTTTCCATCACCCCTCCCCATTATCCCTTTTTCCATCACCCCGCCCCATTCTCCCGCTTTCCATCACCCCGCCCCATTCTCCCTCTTTCCATCACCCCGCCCCATTCTCCCTCTTTCCATCACCCCGCCCCATTCTCCATCTTTACATCAACCCGCCCCACTCTCCCGCCTTCCATCACCCCGCCCCATTCTCCATCTTTCCATCACCCTGCCCAATTCTCCCGCCTTCCATCACCCCACCCCATTCTCCCGTCTTCCATCACCCCGCCCCATTCTCCCTCTTTCCATCACCCTGACCCATTCTCCCGCTTTCCATCACCCCGCCCCATTCTCCCTCTTTCCATCACCCCGCCCCATTCTCCCTCTTTCCATCACCCCGCCCCATTCTCCCGCTTTCCATCACCCCGCCCCATTCTCCCTCTTTCCATCACCCTGCCCCATTCTCCCGCTTTCCATCACCCCGCCCCATTCTCCCGCTTTCCATCACCCCGCCCCATTCTCCCTCTTTCCATCACCCCGCCCCATTCTCCCTCTTTCCATCACCCCGCCCCATTCTCCCTCTTTCCATAACCCCGCCCCATTCTCCCGCTTTCCGTCACCCCGCCCCATTCTCCCTCTTTCCATCACCCCGCCCCGTTCTCCCGCTTTCCATCACCCCGCCCCATTCTCCCGCTTTCCATCACCCCGCCCCATTCTCCCGCTTTCCACCACCCCGCCCCATTCTCCCTCTTTCCATAACCCCGCCCCATTCTCCCGCTTTCCATCACCCCGCCCCATTCTCCCTCTTTCCATCACCCCGCCCCGTTCTCCCGCTTTCCATCACCCGGCCCCATTCTCCCGCTTTCCATCACCCCGCCCCATTCTCCTGCTTTCCATCACCCCGCCCCATTCTCCCTCTTCCCATCACCCCGCCCCATTCTCTCGCTTTCTATCACCCCGCCCCATTCTCCCGCTTTTCATCACCCCGCCCCATTCTCCCGCTTTCCATCACCCCGTCCTATTCTCCCTCTTTCCATCACCCCGCCCCATTCTCCCGCTTTCCATCACCCCGCCCCATTCTTCCTCTTTCCATCTCCCCGCCCCATTCTCCCTCTTTCCATCACCCCGCCCCATTCTCCCGCTTTCCATAACCCCGCCCCATTCTCCCTCTTTCCATCACCCCGCCCCATTCTCCCACTTTCCATCACCCCGCCCCATTCTCCCTCTTCCCATCACCCCGCCCCATTCTCTCGCTTTCCATCACCCCGCCCCATTCTCCCGCTTTTCATCACCCCGCCCCATTCTCCCGCTTTCCATCACCCCGTCCCATTCTTCCTCTTTCCATCACCCCGCCCCATTCTCCCGCTTTCCATCACCCCGCCCCATTCTTCCTCTTTCCATCTCCCCGCCCCATTCTCCCTCTTTCCATCACCCCGCCCCATTCTCCCTCTTTCCATCACCCTGCCCCATTCTCCCACTTTCCATCACCCCGCCCCATTCTCCATCTTTACATCACCCCGCCCCACTCTCCCGCCTTCCATCACCCCGCCCCATTCTCCATCTTTCCATCACCCTGCCCAATTCTCCCGCCTTCCATCACCCCACCCCATTCTCCCGTCTTCCATCACCCCGCCCCATTCTCCCTCTTTCCATCACCCTGACCCATTCTCACGCTTTCCATCACCCTGCCCCATTCTCCCTCTTTCCATCACCCCGCCCCATTCTCCCTCTTTCCATCACCCCGCCCCATTCTCCCGCTTTCCATCACCCCGCCCCATTCTCCCTCTTTCCATCACCCTGCCCCATTCTCCCGCTTTCCATCACCCCGCCCCATTCTCCCGCTTTCCATCACCCCGCCCCATTCTCCCGCTTTCCATCACCCCGCCCCGTTCTCCCTCTTTCCATCACCCCGCCCCATTCTCCCGCTTTCCATCACCCCGCCCCATTCTCCCTCTTTCCATCTCCCCGTCCCATTCTCCCTCTTTCCATCACCCCGCCCCATTCTCCCTCTTTCCATCACCGCGCCCCATTCTCCAGCTTTCCGTCACCCCGCCCTATTCTCCCTCTTTCCATCACCCCGCCCCATTCTCCCTCTTTCCATCACCCCAACCCATTCTCCCGCTTTCCATCACCCCGCCCCATTCTCCCTCTTTCCATCACCCCGCCCCATTCTCCCTCTTTCCATCACCCCGCCCCATTCTCCCGCTTTCCATCACCCCGCGCCATTTAACCTCTTTCCATCACCCGCCCCATTCTCCCGCTTTCCATCACTCCGCCCCATTCTCCCGCTTTCCATCACTCCGCCCCATTCTCCCGCTTTCCATCACCCGTCTCCATTGTCCCGCTTTCCATCACCCCGCCCAATTCTCCCTCTTTCTATCACCCCTTCCCATTCTCCCTCTTTCCATCACCCCGCCCCATTCTCCTGCTTTCCATCACCCCGCCCCATTCTCCCGTCTTCCATCACCCCTCCCCATTATCCCTTTTTCCATCACCCCGCCCCATTCTCCCGCTTTCCATCACCCCGCCCCATTCTCCCGCTTTCAATTACCCCGTTCCATTCTCCCTCTTTCCATCACCCCGCCCCATTCTCCCTCTTTCCATCACCCCGCCCCATTCTCCAGCTTTCTGTCACCCCGCCCATTCTCCCTCTTTCCATCACCCCGCCCCATTCTCCCTCTTTCCATCACCCCCACCCATTCTCCCGCTTTCCATCACCCCGCCCCATTCTCTCTCTTTCCATCACCCTGCCCCATTCTCCCTCTTTCCATCACCCCGCCCCATTCTCCCACTTTCCATCACCCCGCGCCATTTAACCTCTTTCCATCACCCGCCCCATTCTCCCGCTTTCCATCACTCCGCCCCATTCTCTCGCTTTCCATTACTCCGCCCCATTCTCCCGCTTTCCATCACCCGGCTCCATTGTCCCGCTTTCCATCACCCCGCCCAATTCTCCCTCTTTCTATCACCCCTTCCCATTCTCCCTCTTTCCATCACCCCGCCCCATTCTCCTGCTTTCCATCACCCCGCCCCATTCTCCCTCTTTCCATCACCCTGCCCCATTCTCCCTCTTTCCATTTCCCCGCCCCATTCTCCTGATTTCCATCACCCCGGCCCATTCTCCCTCTTTCCATCACCCCGCCCCATTCTCCTGCTTTCCATCACCCCGCTCCATTCTCCCGCTTTCCATCACCACGCCCAATTCTCCCGCTTTCCATCACCCCTCTCCATTCTCCCTCTTTCCATCTCCCCGCCCCATTCTCCTTCTTTCCATCAACCCATCCCATTCTCCCTCTTTCCGTCACCCAACCCCATTCTCCCTGTTTCCATCACCTCGCCCCATTCTCCCTCTTTCCATCACCCCGCCCCATTCTTCCTGTTTCCATCACCTCGCCCCATTCTCTCGCTTTCCATCACCCCTCCCTATTCTCCCTCTTTCCATCACCCCGCCCCATTCTCCCGCTTTCCATCACCCCGCCCCATTCTCCCTCTTTCCATCACCCCGCCCCATTCTCCCTCTTTCCATCACCCCGCCCCATTCTCCCGCCTTCCATCACCCCGCCCCATTCTCCCTCTTTCCATCACCCCGCTCCATTCTCCCGCTTTCCATCACCCCGCCCCATTCTTCCGCTTTCCATCACCCCGCTCCATTCTCCCGCTTTCCATCACCCCGCCCCATTCTCCCGCTTTCCATCACCCCGCCCCATTCTCCCTCTTTCCATCACCTCGCCCCATTCTCCCACTTTCCATCACCCCGTCCCATTCTCCCGCTTTCCATCACCACGCTCCATTCTCCCGCTTTCCATCACCCCGCC